TGGGAGGGTGAAGAGAAGAAATGTATGGTGAATAAACGTTGTCTGATATATTTTCTAATGTAGATTTCCTCTATAGATGTAAATTGTTTGTCTAAAATGGCAGCTTTGCAGAGCTACTTCTGTGTCTTTCAGTTTCTCAGAATAACGAGCTTGAAATATGCAAAGAAGAATAGTTTAGGGTGCCATATCCTGGTTTTTGTGAGTGACACAAGGTCAGAGGTAACCAGGTCCACGAACATTTGTGTCCTTCCACGACACTGGACTTTTATTGATGCTAATTCAATTACAAAAGCCACCAGCTCTGTGGAGTTCAGCTACCTGGAATTCCAAGGAGGCAATTCTTCTTAGTACTTCGCATTCACTCGTTAGGTCTGCAGGCACACAGGCTCTGGCCACTGCACAAGCCAGTCAGTATTGCAAACCATACACAATTGTGTATTTAATCAGTATATAAATGTTACTGATTAAACATTCCACAGTAGGCAAAATAACATTTAACATTAAGAGAAAGGGAATAGAAAAAGGGTTAATGAACTAGCCCAGGAAGAGCAACAAAGAAAAAAAGAATTTCCTGGTCTGGGCTGGTCAATCTGGTTAGTCTTGCAAGAGAGAGTCTTTGATGTGGGGCAGAGTTTTCAGGAGCAGATGCCAGGTGCTGGTCATGAGTTACAACAGTGCCTACCCTTTTTGTGGCCACAGAGTCCTCCAGTGAGGACTGATAGTTTAAGACTGTTCTTGATTATCTACTTACCTGTTTAGATGCAGTCTTTATTTATCAAGCAAAACATCTTGTCTCTGTTATGACAAAATGATGTAAAAAAAAGTCATAAAAAATATACAGTTTTAGGAATTTGCTGAAAACAAAATGTTGGATATTTTCTCATGAAGCCTTTCGCATCTCTCCATGAAAACGGAGCTGGCCAGGTATGGTGTCTCATCCCTGTAATCCCAGCACTTTGGGAGGCTGCGGCAGGTAGATTGCTTGAGTCTAGAAATTCAAGACCAGTCTGGTCAACATAGTGAAACATTGTCTCTACAAAAAACAAAAGTAGCTGGGCTTGGGGGTGCATGTCTGCAGCCCTAGTTATTTGGGAGGCTGAAGTAGGAGTATGGCTTGAGCCCTGGAGGTGAAGGTTGCTGCGAGCCAAGATTGCGCCACTGCACTCCATCCAGCCTGGGCGACAGAGTGAGACCCTGTCTCAAAAAAAAAAGGAGCGGGGAGAAAATGGAACTGTTTGCGTCAAGGAAAAGAAACCGTCTCAGCACTGCCCAGACTCTTTATGCCAAAGGGAAAGTTAAGACTGGAGAAAGAGTCACCTGACACTGCTGATCTCCCCTTGCACCTAGCCCCACTTGCCCGATAGAGTGCTGTGACTTCCCAGACTTGTGTCAAAGCGCTATGCATTAGCCAGCCCCTGGAGAAGGCAGAAGGCCTCATGCATCCGGGATGTCTGCCCTCAAATTGCTCATAAGTAAATTCTCTGCTGGCCCCTTAACCTTTCAAACTGTGTATCTTCCCATAAAAACAAAAAAGGACATGTCAGCTTTAACTTTAGGTTTGTGATCTAAGTCTAGCTCCTTGTCCATGGAATTGCAGTCTGTTACATTTCACACTGACAATGTCCATTGCAAGCTTATCTTCCCAGGTACAGAACAAAGACGATAGAGCAATCGTTTCTCTGCCTGCCCTGAGACTACATAATTAACTCTTCCTTCACTTCCTTTTTGAAGGTTTATCGTATCTTCTTGTATAGCAGAGTTTACTGGGCACTAATTTAAATCTCAAGAGAATGTCAGATTTGCCTCACCACCTGCCCCCTTTTCATGCATGCCTTCTTCCCTTTAAAGAAGTGGGTAAACACTGAGCCTTCTGCAAACTTTTTGGAGCATGGGCCACAGAAGATTCTGTGACTTTGTGTGTTTCTGGGTTGGGCCCTCAAGCTCTGGCTTAATTATCCCCTGTTGAGACTCTTGACCTCAGTCTCTCATTTGGGTTGACATATTTGTTTATGGAAATCCTGGTAGCCACTGATATTATTGTTTCTTCAGTGTCTTCTCTGGAGAAAAACTGTAAATTCCCTTCTTTATCGCCCTTCACTTTTACCTTCAGTTTTGTGCCATTTTTTTCTCTGTGATACTTTATTTTTCTTATGAACAACAGTTATAATGTGATTTAACTTGTTTTCTGTTCAGAAGAGTGTTCAACTTCGATGTTAATTAGAAGCAAGCTTTTCACAACTGACCAAATCCTTATTTTATGACGTTGCTAGGAATGTGCTGCTTGTTCTCATTGTGTAAGATTTTAATCTGATAATGAAAGTGATTATGTCACATTGGAGCCTTCTAATTTGGCTAGAATAAACTATTGTCAACATTTATCAGAAGATTAAAACCCATTAATAAAGAGCTCCAGTGGATCAAGAAAATACCCAATTAACAGCCAATTTAGAGAAACAAAGCAGATGGCAATAAACTTAGGAAAAGACGGGGAATCTCACTAGTAATAAGGAAGATGTATATTAAAGCGCAGGATACTGGGTTTTTGCCTTTAAATTAGACGTCCAGGTTGGGAAATGTGCAAGCTCAGATATTAATGGTAGGATTTAAATTGGTACAGGTGTTGGAAGTATGATTTAACTCATATCTTGAAGCTTAAAAATATGATACAGGTTGAATATAAACATCTGAAATGTGAAATACTCTAAAATTTGAAACCTTTTAAGTGCCAACGTGATGCTCAAAAGCAATGCTCACCGAAGCATTTTAGATTTTTGGATTAGGAAAGCTTAGCCAGTAAAACAGTGTAAATATTCCAAATTCCACAACACTTCTGGTCCCAAACATTTTGGATGAGATAAATTCAACCTGACTAGTTGACCCACCGATTCCATTTCTTTTTCTTTCTTTTTTCTTTTTGAGACGGAGTTTTGCTCTTGTTACCCAGGCTGGAGTGCAGTGGCGCGACCTCGGCTCAACGCAACCTTCGCCTCCTGGGTTCAAGCAATTCTCCTGGCTCAGCATCCTGAGTAGCTGGGATTACAGGCAGGCGCCACCATGCCCAGCTAATTTTTTGTATTTTTAGTAGAGACGAGGTTTCACCATGTTGACCAGGATGGTCTCGATCTCTTGATCTCGTGATCCACCCGCCTCGGCCTCCCAAAGTGCTGGGATTACAGGTTTGAGCCACTGCCACCAATTCCATTTCTAGCTCAGGTGTCTGTCTTACATAAATAATGGCACAGGTGCAAAGAGGCATGAACAGCAGTATTTATTGTATCCGTGTTTGTGATAATAAAAAACAAGTACACGAAATAGAATTTAAAAACCCTCCCCAACAAAAATAGTAAGATCAGTGTGAGAATGGTTATCAATTTTGATCTAGCCTTTCTTTGATATAAGTGATGAAAAAGAATGTTACGGATTTTGGGAATCCATCACATTAGTATTAATAGGGAAAGATTCTTCATGGCTTGTCATTTATTTATTTATTTATTTATTTTTTGAGATGGAGTCTCCCCCTGTTGCCTAGAGTGTAGTGGCACAATCTTGGCTCACTGCAACCTCCGCCTCCCAGGTTCAAGCAATTCCGCCGCCCTAGTAGGTGGGATTACAGGTATGTGCCACCACACCCAGCTAAGCGTTGTATTTTTTATTAGAGATGGGGTTTCACCATGTTGGCCAGGCTGGTCTCGAACTCCTGACTTCAGGTGATCCATCCATCTCGTCCTCCCAAAGTGCTGGGATTACAAAGCTGAGTTACTGTGTCTGGCCCAGCTTATTGTTAATTTGGAAAAAATATTGCAGAACATTATGTACAATGTTTTATTTTAAGAAGCTGTTTTGCCAGGCACGGTGGCTCAAGCCTGTAATCCCAGCACTTTGGGAGGCCGAGGCGGGTGGATCACGAGATCAAGAGATCGAGACCATCCTGGTCAACATGGTGAAACCTCGTCTCTACTAAAAATACAAAAAATTAGCTGGGCATGGTGGTCCGTGCCTGTAATCCCAGCTACTCAGGAGGCTGGGGCAGGAGAATTGCCTGAACCCAGGAGGTGGAGGTTGCAGTGAGCCGAGATTACGCCATTGCACTCCAGCCTGGGTAACAAGAGCGAAACTCCGTCTCAAATAAATAAATAAATAAACAAAAATAAAAATAAGAAGCTGTTTTAATATATGTATTATATGTATAGTACGATATGAGTGTAAGTATGTGTGTTGTGTATGTATATGTGGATGTGTTGTATATATGTATACACACACATTTATGGGAATTAATACAAATACTCTAGGCACTAAATTGTTTACTCTTCTGAGGAAGGGGAATGACATTTGGGGTAGATAGTAAAAGAAGTCTTTGATTTTTTATTTCTATATATGTATACATATCAACAAAAATATATCCTTGTATTTGAATGGGATTTTTGGCTGAGTGCAGTGGTTCATGCCTATAATCCAGCACTTTGAGATGCTAAGGCAGGTGGATTGCTTGAGCTCAGGAATTCAAGACCAGTCTGGGCAACATGATGAAACCCCATCTCTACAAAAAAATATAAAAATTAGCTGGGCATGGTTGTGTGCGCCTGTAGTCCTAGCTACTTGGGAGGCTGAGGCAAGAGGATTGCCTGAGCCTGGAAGATCGAGGCTTCAGTGAGTTGTGATTGTGCCACTACACTCCAGCCTGGGCAACAGAGTGAGACCCTGTCTCATTTTGGGGAGGGGGTTGGGGCAGGTAATTTTCATAAAATCTGTTGTTGGATTTCAGAAGTCATTTGGGGCAAGTAAAGGCTGAGTGTTACTTTACGATCACTGTATCTTTTAAAAAAAGATTCAGAGAAAATTAGAAAAGTATCTCTTTAGAAGATAGATTCCCTTCCTCTGTTTGTTTCTTTATGCACACATCCATTTCCAAGTGGATGTTCAGTGGTCACCTGCATGAACACTCCATGACATTCCCCCTTCCCTCAGTTGTAACAGATGACTTTTCTAAACTTTCTCCTCAGATTCCTTTTTTTGAAGAAATGTGTAAAGGTATTAAAGCTGGTGACACCTGTGAGAAGCTGGTGGGATATTCTGCCGTATATAGAGTCTGTTTTGGAATGGCTTGTTTCTTCTTTATCTTCTGTCTACTGACCTTGAAAATCAACAACAGCAAAAGTTGTAGAGCTCATATTCACAATGGGTAAGTATTTTAGTCTTCGTGGGAACTGCTTTCTCCTTTCTTATGTTCCAGACAGTATTCCAGGATCCCTTCTATCCACCAGACACTGTGACTGCTCTTCTTCTAGTTGAAATAGTTGATTTAAGGGGAGATGGAACTGATACTTGTTATTCACATGGTTGCCTGAAAGCTAGAATCTTGTTTGTAACACCTGGCACCATAATGCGAAATCTAGTCAAGACAAAGAGTTTATTTCTTGTTCCAAGACCTTTTCCCAGGTCATTTCCACCCCTGCAATGAAATGGTGTTTTGCACAATTGGAGGCTGCACTGAGTCTGTGTAATTATGGGAAATGGCATTCTTCAAGTCACTCAATTACTTCCCCTCGATTGGGAGAGAACATTGGCCAATGGCAGAATTGTGGATTGACATGCTTACTTTCTAAGAAGTCCTTTGTCCTTGTTGAATGTCATTTAAATACATTTCCTCTTTTTTCCCCCTCTTCTAGCTTTTGGTTCTTTAAACTTCTGCTGTTGGGGGCCATGTGCTCAGGAGCTTTCTTCATTCCAGATCAGGACACCTTTCTGAACGGTACTAATGGGGTATTTTGGGTACCTGTTTATTTTGTTTTTATCCATTTTGTCAAATTGCTCAGAAGTGCTGTCCAAAGTACCTTTGATAATTTGAGTTAGTGATTTTCTTCTGGCTTCAGAAGAAATTCCTGTCTTACCTGCCCATACTTTCTCCGCCATTTCCTATCTACCTCCCCTGTCCAAATAGGACTTTGATACTCTGCTAGCCTGGGCGAGACCTTGTTCTTTCCAAGCACTGCCCAGAAAACCCAGCAACAGGGAACGCAGGGCTGTCAGCAGTTGAACGTCTACTACAGCAATAGTGGGACAGGAAAAGCATCCTTCAGTCTGGTTTTAAACTTACCTTATGTGAAGCTCTGTAACATTGAATTATATTCTTTATTGCTAGAACCTGCTACAATTCATTAATATGCAGCCTTTAATCATAGCTGAAACAGGGGGGTCCTTTTTCATATGAGTGTAGGGAAAAACCTGAATTTCACTGGTTTGGGCATTTTGTTCAACCCAAATGGATTCACTTTCCTAAGTGAGGTACTAAAAACATTTAGGCCAGGCGTGGTGGCTCACACCTGTAATCTCAGCATTTTGGAGGCTGAGGTGGGTGGATCACTTGAGGCCAGGAGTTCGAGACCAACCTGACCAACATGGAGAAACCTTGTTTCTACTAAAAATATAAAAATTAGCTGGGCGTGGTGGTATGTGCCTGTAATCTCAGCTACTTGGGAGGCTGAGACACGAGAATTGCTTGAACCGGATGGTGGAGGCTGCCGTGAGCTGAGATTGCACCACTGCACTCCAACTTGGGCGACAGAGTGGGACTTTGTCTCAAAAACTAAACAAAACCTCTAGATTGTATCATTTTATAAGGAACAGCCATAATCTTTCATATAGTAATGTGTCAGAGCCTACCTAGTTGTTTATGGTCATACTTGTTTTTCATATACTCCCTAAGTCTTGGTTTTACCTAAAATGATGTTAAAAGTTTTAAAATTTTCCACAGAGATCCTTTTATATATTAGAATGTATATTTAGAGGGAGAAGAGACCTAGAAACCCTCTGGTCCAGCTCAGTCTTTTTTCTTTTGGAGATAGAGTCTTGCTCTGTCACCTAGGCTGGAGTGCAGTGGTGTGATCTCGGCTCACTGCAACCTCCACCACCCAGGTTCAAGCGATTCCTGAATCCTGCCTCAGCCTCCTGAGTAGCTGGGATTACAGGTGCCTGCCACCATGCCTGGCATTCTTCTTTTTGTTGTTGTTGTTGTTTTAGTAGAGACAGGGTTTCGCCATGTTGGCCAGGCTGGTTTTGAACTCCTGACCTCAAGTGATCCACTCACCTCAGCCTCCCAAAGTGCTAGAATTTCAGGCGTGAGCCACTGCACCCAGCTGTAGCGCAGTGATTTTTACGGGCAAACTGGAAACCACGTGATGTGGTTTAGTCAAGGTAACGGCATCTTTGTGGCAGAGCCAGAAGTAGAGCCGAGTCCTTGTCCCCCGTCTGAACCTTGTTTCCTTAATGATCACTGTTGACTTTTTTTTTTGGGATGGAGTTTTGCTGTTGTTACCCAGACTGGAGTGCAATGGCACGATCTCGGCTCACCGCAACCTCCACCTCCTGGGTTCAAGCAATTCTCCTGCCTCAGCCTCCCAAGTAGCTGGGACTACAGGTGCGCACCACCATGCCCAGCTAATTTTTTGTATTTTTAGTAGAGACAGGGTTTCACTTTGTTGACCAGGATGGTCTCGATCTCTTGACCTCGTGATCCACCCGCCTCGGCCTCCCAAAGTGCTGGGATTATAGGCGTCAGCCACTGCACCCGGCCCTCGTTGTTGACTTTTTACCCAATAAAATTTGAACCTTTGATTTTTCTGGCAATATATGGTTGATTTTAAGTTGTGGTTCATTGTGAGTTTTGTGAATTAGGGCATCTGTTAGGCTACCTGGCAGATGTAGCATGGAGGTTAAGCTTGGATACTTCAGGGTCAGGCTGCCTGTGTTCAGATCCCAACTATACCATTTACTTACTGAGGTGTTGTCAACCTACATAGATTCTCAATTTTTCTCTTCTATAAAGTGGGTGACATTTATAATAGTAATCCATGTCTTATATGGTTGTGTGGGAATTAAGTGTGTTAGGTACACTTATCATCTAGTAAAAATCAGCTGTGGTTATTCTCTTTGGAATGAAATACAAGGAAAGGTTGCCTCATCGTGTTCTTCATGGTCTTTTGCAGCCTGGCGCTACGTGGGAGCCATCGGAGGCTTCCTCTTTATCGGCATCCAGCTCCTCCTGCTTGTGGAATTTGCACATAAGTGGAACAAGAACTGGTGTGTGTGCCTTTGTGGAAAGCTTCCTGTTGACACACAGAAAGTGCCCGGTTTTGATAAAGGCTGTACTCAACTGCATCGCTAGGGATTTGCAGCTTTGTTTACACCGAATACAATGTTTGCTGTCACTTTCCCTTTGTGCCTGCTTTTTTTGGTACCTCTTCATTTACTTCTCTCCTTTATTTACTTCTCACTTTTTGACCCCCTGCCCCTACTCTGTCATTTGGGCTCGGAGTCAACCAGTGGAATGAATTAGCCATACTCAACCCCCTACTCGTACCTGTCAGTCTCAGGTTTTGGAGGTGGCTAAAAACTTGGGTAGCCTTCCTCATAGTCTCCCATCCTCATGAAATTTAAAACAAAATTAAAAAGCGCACACAAAACTCAAACTTCGGAGGTGGAGATTCATCTTCTGCAGAGTATGAGAGGGAATAGTTGCCCTCCTTTAAAAAAATTTTTGGGCCAGGCATGTTGGCTCATGCCTGTACTTCCAGAACTTTCAGGAGGGCAAAGCGTGAGGATTACTTGAGCCCAGGAGTTTGAGACCAGTATGGGCAACATACTAAGACCTTTTTTCTATGAAAAATTAGCCAGGCATGGTAGCACATGCCTATAATTCCAGCTGTTTGGGAGGCTGAGGTGGGAGGATTGCTTGAGCCTGGTAGGTCAAGTGTTTGGTGAGCTGACGTCACACAACTACACTCCATCCTGAGTAACAGATCAAGACCCTGTCTCAACAGATTTTTTTTGTTTGTTTCTTTTCATCTTCCCAAGAGGGGAAAAAGGACTTCTTCATTAGGGAGATACGTTGTCCTATATTAGAAAGCCATCCTGTCTTTGAAAAAGGTAGACTCTTTCTAAGTGCCTTGGAAGTTGAATTCATATCCTGGGCCAAGTGGGAGAGGCCCAGCTACTAATAGCTAGTTTTATTTCTTGCTAGATCACATGGAGAAAATGACAACTTGAGAAGGGTCCAGCCCTTGAGTTCTAAGGCCAAATTGACCCACTTTGTGATTCTGGATAAAGCACTTAACTGCTTTCTGCCTGACTTGCTTTACTTGTAAAATATGAATAAAAACAACTACCTATTGTACCCAATAAGGCTTTTGTTATTTTGCGTATTTTATAGGAATTATTTTAGTATAATTATTTTAAAATTATACTAAAATTTTAAAAATCGTAAGTGCTATGTGAATGTGAAGTTTATTTTTTCCGTGGACAAAACAAAATATACTGTCCAAATACTCTCAATATTCTTTAGTCTGAATATGCTGTTCAACTTGGTAATTGTTGTTTTCTTTTGGTTGTAAGGATTAATTCATGAGGTGCAGCTGTAGTTGGGGGGATGCATAAGCGGAAAGATAGAGTTAGTCATTTTACTCTTTGGTAAATACCGGATTAAGCATGGCCAAATATGAACAATTTTCAAATGGTTTACAGAACACTGCATAGACATACAGGTAGCCCTGCAGGTATGCTTGGCTATGTTATTGTACAGGGTATGCATTTTGAGTTATCTGTGAGATCCAGTAATTTATGTTATGGTCTCCACTGGATCTTGTTTCGAGGTCGCAGAGTTTTCTTAAAGATGAGCCAATGTGTGACTCATATAATTGTATGGGACCCTGTTTTCTCAGTAGTCCAGAAGAAATACAAGCAGTTGGAAGTGAATTTTAATTGATTAAATATTACTCTTTCCATGATTATTCTGAATGTGCTTTCAATTGGAATTTTTTATTAGAAAATAAATTGATCATCCTAAAATTTTCACAAGTATACTTCAAATAGGGAACGTCATGGTAAAACAATAGCAGTTTTCATCCTTAATGCCTGATCTGCCAGTTAAATAGTAAGTCCTCTCGCCTCTAATAAAATAGATTTTAAAGCAGCAAAGATCAAAAGAGGCAAAGAAAGTCATTACATCATGGTAAAAGGATCAATGCAACAAGAAGAGCTAATGATCCTAAATATATACGCACCCAATACAGGAACACCCAGACACATAAGACTTATAAAGAGACTTAGACTCCCACACAATAATAGTGGGAGACTTCAACGTCAATATTAGATAGATCAACGAGACCGAAAATTAATAAGGATATCCAGGACTTGAACTCAGATCCAGAACAAGTAAACTTAATAAACATTTATAGAACTCTCCACTTTAAATACACAAAATATACATTCTTATCAGTACCACATCACACCTACTCACAGGTTTAAAAAAAAAATAGTAAGTCCCCGTGAGAACACTGTGCTTCTTCACTCTGACTTTAATGTTTTGATTGACTCTGAATCCATTTGCTGGGGCTAATTATTGATGCCAAGTTTTAGCATGCAGTTTGGAAAAGTTTGGTTGCTTTAAAAACTTTCAGAAACTCAGAATTACTTAAAAGCTCTGCAGCAAATAGTGTTACTATTATCCAAGCTTTGAGGCCTATATGCCAACAAAATCCCTATTGTCAACATGTTTATAGTTGTTAGTCTAAAATTAGAAATGAGCTAGAAAACTTATTTTCCTTTAAATTTGGTAGTTTTTGGCTGTTTTTTAACAGACTCTTGCTTATAAGAATCTAGAAAACATGCTCATTGCTCTTGATGGAACAACTAAAGTACCTTTTCTTTCCTTTTTCATTTATCTCTTTGTAAACATCTTGAGAAGGAGATGATCTTAAAAACTGTAGGCTGGAAAGGCTGTGACCTGGAAACCAGGAGATGCAGACTTTGTGCCTCTTTCTTTTCTTTTTCCTTTTTTTTGTTTTTGAGATGGGATCTCACCTTTGTCATCCAGGCTGGAGTGCAGTTGTGTGATCATGGCTCACTGCAGCTTCAGTTTCCCAGGCTTCAGTCATTCTCCCACCTCAGCCCCCCAAGCAGCTGGGACTACAGGCATGTGGCACCACACTTGGCTAATTTCTTTCTTTTCTTTTCGCTCTCTCTTTTTTTTTTTTGGTAGGGATGGGGTTTTGCTATGTTACCCAGGCTGATCTTGAAGTCCTGAGTTGAAGAGATCCTTCTGCCTCGGCCTCCCAAAGTGCTGGGATGGCATTGTGTTCCACTTCAGTGCCCCTTTTATGCTTGCTATTTCACTATAGGGCACATCAGTTGGCCCCTCTGGCTTCAGTTTTCGCACTTAAATAATCTGTTTGATCAAACTGGTGTGTTCTTTTTTTTTTTTTATTAGCTCAAGTTTTATGGTTTGCAGCGCCAATTCTCTATCAGAATTGAAACAAAGGGCTTTAGGTGCCAAGTGTAAAGACCTTCTTTGGATTTTTAGTGTGATGGGAGAGCACCAGAGGGCCTTAGAAAGGAAAGAATATAATCTGTTTTAAGTCAAGACAGGTTAGAGGGAGTCAGAGGTGCAAATAAGGAGGTCAGGGGGAGACAATCCAGGCGAAGGAGGAGTAGTCTGGAATTAAGTGGTAGCAGGAGCTGGATCCTCCTCTGTTCTGAAGCTGGCTCCAGGTGGAGGTGGCTGGGGGAGGGGAGAGAAGCAAGAGGCTTCCAGAGTGACTGCAGTTCTTTTTCATCTCCCTCCCTCCCTCCTTTCCTTCTTCCCTTCCTTCCATCCTTTCCTTCCTTCCTTTTTCCTTCGTCCCCTTCCCCTTCCCCTCCCCTCCCCCTCCCCCTTTCCCCAACAATGGGAAGATGGAATTGTGTTTTCTGAGGTTGGAATGATTGCACAATAGCAGGTTTGGGGGTTGGAGGAATGGGGGTGTGAATATCGGGAAGTAGCCACAGCCTGGATATGCTGAGTTTGAGATGCCACTTAGACCTTCGAGTGGAGACATTAAATGAGCAACTGGATAATATAAGTGAAGTTCAGAGGAAAGGTTAGGGTTGAAGATTTAATTCTGGGATGAACTGTAAACATAAATTAACTATAAGAAAGTCCTTTGTTTTCTAATACCATAACCGAAAATAGCGCTGGTCCTCTCCCACCCACAAGCTAGTCAGCAGTGTTTACATTTTATACATAATTTATGCTGTCTCCCCATCATCGATTATTATTTGCTCTTAGTTGGTTTTCTTTTTTTCCTTTTTAAAATCCCATTTTCTCTAATTTCCTTTGTGTGCCTTTTATGTTAGAATAATTCTGAGGTCATTGGAGTGTCTTGTCTGGCAGAGTTTCAGGAATATGACGGTCATTATCATTTTGGCCTTTCCTCCCTATTTTCTTTGTTTCTGGCTGCAGGAACTTTTTCGTCATTAAAACATTTTAGCTGCGTTGCTTGAACACCTTCCAGTTTTGTGAGGGCATAAAGCAAGTTGCCTTTTCTGTGAGGTTTGGGAGAATGTGGTTACAAAGAGCATTTAATCATAAGGCAGATGACAATGACTCATTCAATTCATTCTCCCTGTTCTTCTGTCCTCTTCATTTAGCAGTTATAGATACTTTTCTTTGTTCTAAACAATTTCTTTTTGTGTGTGTGAGATAGGGTCTTGCTCTGTTGCCCAGGCTGGAGTGCAGTGGCATGATCTGGGCTTACTACAACCTTTGCCTCTGGGGTCCAAGCGATTCAGCCACCCAAGTAGCTGGGATTACAGGCATGCACCACCATGCCTGGCTAATTTTCGTACTTTTGGTAGAGACAGGGTTTCATCCTGTTGGCCAGGCTGGTCTCAAACTGCTAGCCTCATGTGATCCACCTACCTTGGCCTCCCAAAGTGCTGGGATTACAGATGTGAGCCACCATGCCTAGCCTTGTTCTGAACAATTTCTATAGATTTAGATCACCACTTATTTATCTTATTTTTTATTAATAGAGACAGAATCTTGCTCTTGATACCCAGGCTGGAGTGCAATGGCACAATCTTGGCTCACTGCAATCTCCACCTCCAAAGCTTAAGTGATTCTCCTACCTCAGCCTCCCAAGTAGCTGAGATTACAAGTGCCCACCACTACGCCTGACAAGATTTGTGTTTTGAGTAGAGACAGGGATTCATTGTCTTGGTCAGGCTGGTCTTGAACTCCTTACCTCAGGTGATCTGCCTGCCTCGGCCTCCTGAAATGTTGGGGTTACAGGCATGAGCCACTGCATCCAGCTCATTTAGTTAGTTTTTTAAATTGTACATCCCATTACTCTTTTCCTGACTTATTTTATTCTCCTATATTTTAATTGGCATATTAAAATTGCACATATTTATAGGGTACATTTTGATGTTTTGATATATATATATGTCATGTAGTAATCAAATCAAGGCAGTTGGCTATTCATTACTGCATTGATTTATCATCTTTTTCTTCCCTTTTTTTCCCTCTGTTTTTAAAGAGACAGGGTCTCACTCTGTGGCACAGTCATACCTCACTGCAGCCTTGAACTCCTAGGCTCGAGAGATCTTCCTGCCTCAGCCTCCCAAAAAGCTGGCGAATTAGCATGCCCCACTAATTTTTTGTTTTGGTTTGGTTTTTGGTTTTTGTAGATGGGTCTTGCTCTGTTGACCAGGCTGTATCATTTCTTTGTGTTGAGAACCTTCAAAAGCCTCTCCTAGCTGTTTTGTAATATACAATACCTTACTGCTAACCATCATCACCCTACCATGCAACTGATCACCAGAACTTATTGCGATCTAACTTTTTTTAATGTCAGATTTTTCTTCACTATTTTAGAGAAGCAGTGCAGTTACAGGTCCTCCTCTTCAGTATGGGAATAAAGAGCTGATGTCAGCCATTCTGGCTCTGAGTAAAGCTGATCCTCTTTTCTCCCTAAGAAGATGCCATCCACAAGAGCTGCTGGCAACACTTTGTTTTTAAAAGTTTATTATTGGCTGGACGTGGTGGCTCACGCCTGTAATCCCAGCACTTTGGGAGGCCAAGGCGGGTGGACCACGAGGTCAAGAGATCGAGACCATCCTGGCCAATGGTGAAACTCCGTCTCTATAAAAATACAAAAAAATTAGCCGGGCACAGGCATGCGCCTGTGGTTCCAGCTACTCTGGAGGCTGAGGCAGAAGAATTGCTTGAACCCAGGAGGCGGAGGTTGCAGTGACCCGAGATTGCACCACTGCACTCCAGCCTGGTGATAAAGCAAGACTCCATCTCCAAAAAAAAAGTTTATTATTATTTAAAAAAATTTAAACAGGGTCTCACTCATGTCCAGGCCAGAATACGGTAGTACAATCATGGCTCATAGCAACCTTTAACACCCCGGACTCAGGTGATCCCCTCACCTTAGTCTCCCAAGTAGCTGGGACTACAAGTATGTGCCACCAAACCCAGCTAAATTTTTTTTTTTGTAGAGATGAGGTTTTGCCATGTTGCCCAGGCTGGTCTTGAACTCCTAGCCTCAAGTGATCCACCCACCTGAGCCTCCCAAAGTGCCGGGATTATAGGTGTGAGCCACCTCACCAGGCAGCACTTTTGAGTAGAGACTATGCGCTTCAGGGCTCCATGTTTATGGAGAAAACTTGGAGAAGCCCCATGAAGAGCCACTTTTTCATCCTGCCAAAAACTGATACAGGGTGGTCCACAGTCAAGAATGGAGAAGCTAGAGTAAAGTCTGTAGGTAGCTAAAGGAAATAAAGCATTTCAGGACTGCCCAAACTCATTCTACCAAAAGGAGAGTTCAGCCTGGGGACAGAGTCACGTGACACTGCTGCCCCTCCCCCCCCACTCCTCCATGGAAAGCTGTGACTTCCCAACCTTGTGTCAAAGTGCTAGACATTAGCTAGACCTCTACAGAAGGCAGTAGGCCTCATGCATCCCAGATGACTGCCCTCAAATTGCTCATAAGTAAATTGTCTGCTGGCCCCTTAAACTTTCAAGCTGTGTATCTTCCCATAAAAAGGACATGTTAACTGTAACTTTAGGTCTGTGATCTAAGTCTAGCTCCTTGTCCATGGAATTGCAGTCTGTTACATTTTATACTGACAATGCCCATTACAAGCTTATCTTTCCAGGTGCAAAACAAAGACAGGAGAGCAGTCATTCCTCTGCCTGCTCTGAGACTACATAATTAACTCTTCCTTCACTCCCTTTTAAAATGTTTGTCATGTCTCTTGTATAGCAGAGTTTATTGGGTGCTAATTAAAATCTCAGGAGAATGTCAGGTTTGCCTCACCGCCTGCCCCCCTTTTCCTGCATGCCTTTGCCCATTTAAATAAATGGGTAAATACTGAGCCTTCTGCAACCTCCTTGGGAGCACTGACCACAAAGGATTCCGTGACTTGTGTGTTTTTGGGTGTGCCCTCAGGCCTCTGGCTCAGTAAACCTCGACTCTTGAGACTCTTGCCTTAGTCTCTCATTTGGGTTGACATTATTCATTTTAATTGATGAATACATTTTGGCAGAAAGGGGAATTCTTTCAGTGTTAAAGAGAAAATTCTAAGCTTGAGCCAAGAAGTTTCCATATTTACCAGAACCTTCTAGCATTGATAGAGCATAATCCCTGCTAAAACAATATGTCTTCTGGGCAGCTGGGTGGCAGTGCCTGCAGCCTGATGGCATTAGTTACTGCCTGAGGGGTGGTAAATGTGATCAGAGAATAGTGGGCTTCATTGACTTGTCTTCTCTTCCTTCCCTCGTACCCACTTCCCGGAGAAACAGGACAGCAGGCACGGCCAGTAACAAGCTCTGGTATGCCTCACTGGCCCTGGTGACGCTCATCATGTATTCTGTTGCCACTGGAGGCTTGGTTTCGATGGCAGTGTTTTACACACAGAAAGATGGCTGCATGGAAAACAAAATTCTGCTGGGAGTGAATGGAGGCCTGTGCCTGCTTATTTCATTGGTAGCCATCTCGCCCAGTGTCCAAAATCGTAAGCATGTTTTTTTCCATTCTTCCTTATTTATATGTTTCCTAAGTGGCTTTGAGCAAACCCAGGGGGTTATTTTTTTCTTTGTTTTGGAAACTAGTGTATTCCTTAACTTACCGTGAATACGTCAGCAGTAGGCAAGGTGGGACTCCAGTCTTCATATCTCACACTGGAGCTGTGATAGCCAAGCATTTCTCATGTCAGAAAGAAGTCAGTGAATAGGAAGATAACACCTTTGCTAAGTAATGTACCACAAGGAGCCTTTAAATGGGAAATGCCTTCTGTGTATATCAAGCTCAGTTGTTTATGAGCTTGCCTACAGTTTCTGTGTAAAAGTTGAATGAGAGAGCTGCGGAAGTTTTATAACTCTGTGTAAAAGTTGAATTAGCCAGGCATGGTGGCGGGCACCTGTAATCCCAGCTACTTGGGAGGCTGAGGCAGGAGAATCACTTGAGCTGGGAGGCGGAAGTTGCAGTGAGCCGAGATTGCGCCACTGCACTCCAGCCTGGGCAACAAGAGCGAGACTCTGTTTAAAAAAAAAAGAAAACATAAATGAAAAGATTAAAGTGCTTTGTCTACAAAGCTTTAATCTTTTCATTTATGTTTTCTTTTTAAATATTAATTTAAAAATTTTTTTATTTTCTTTATTAAAGATCTGGGGTCATCCTTCACTCAAGGCTGTGGACAGTGTGGGCTGGCCCATGTGCTAACCTTCCTCAGACCCATGTTCTTCCTCAGTGAAGTCAGTGGAAACATGTGAGCCTGGTCTTGCTCATGGTCATTTCAAAGCTGGAAGGAAGAGACAGTGGGATTTGAAAGTGCTTTATGAAGTATAAGTGTGAATTGTCCTTTATAAACTACTCTTGATTTCTTAAACCGGGATAGTGTCTTTGGGCTTACAGAGTGAGATGTCCCTGGTCTGTTGTTTTCTGTGGGCATCGGACCCTACATGTGATGCAAATGCACATGACATTCAGGTTCTAGGTAGGAAAATATAGCCAATAAATTTACAGCCCCCTTGAATCCTTTGTAAAATAGTGCTTTAAAAGGCAACTAGTGGCCAGGCATGGTGGTTCATGCACTTTGGGAGGCTGAGGCAGGCGGATCATTTGAGTTTAGGAGTTTTATTTTTATTGCATTTTAGGTTTTGGGGTACATGTGCAGAACATGCAAGATAGTTGCATAGGTACACACGTGGCAGTGTGTTTTGCTGCCTTCCTCCACTTCACCCACATCTGGCATTTCTCCCCATGCTATCACTCCCTAACGCCCCCCGCCGCTGTCCCTTCTCCATTCCCCCCAAAAGACCTCAGTGTGTAGTGTTCCCTTCCCTCTGCCCATGTGTTCTCATTGTTCATCACCCGCCTATGAGTGAGAACATGCAGTATTTCATTTTCTGTTCTTGTGTCTGTTTGCTGAGAATGATGTTCTCTAGATTCATCCATGTCCCTACAAAGGACACGAACTCATCGTTTTTGATTGCTGCATAATATTCCGTGGTGTATATGTGCCACATTTTCCCAGTCCAGTCTATCATCGATGGGCATGGTTCCAGGTCTTTGCTATTGTAAACAGTGCTGCAATGAACATTCATGTGCATGTGTCCTTATAGTAGAACGATTTATAGTCCTTTGGATATATACCCAATAATGGCATTGCTGGGTCAAATGGAATTTCTATTTCTAGGTTCTTGAGGAATCATCATACTGTCTTCCACAATGGTTGAACTAATTTACACTCCCACCAACAGTGTAAAAGTGTTCCTGTTTCTCGACATCCTCTCCAGCATCTGTTGTCTCCAGATTTTTTAATGATTGCCATTCTAACTGGCGTGAGATGGTATCTCAGTGTGGTTTTGATTTGCATCTCTCTAATGACCAGTGATGATGAGCATTTTTTCATATGTTTCTTGGCCTCATGTATATCTTCTTTTGTAAAGTGTCTGTTCATATCCTTTGCCCATTTTTGAATGGGCTTGTTTGTTTTTTTCTTGTAAATCTGTTTGAGTTCTTTGTAAATTCTGGATATCAGCCTTTTGTCAGCTGGGTAAACTGCAAAAATTTTTTCCCATTCTGTTGGTTGCCGATTCACCCTGGTGACTGTTTCTTTTGCGGTGCAGAAGCTGTGGAGTTTGATTAGGTCCCATTTGTCTGTTTTGGCTTTTGTTGCCGATGCTTTTGGTGTTTTGTTCATGAAGTTCTTGCCTACTCCTGTGTCCTAAATGGTTTTGCCTAGATTTTCTTCTAGGGTTTTTATGGTGCCAGGTCTTATGATTAAGTCTTTAATCCATCTGGAGTTAATTTTAGTGTAAGGTGTCAGAAAGGGGTTCAGTTTCTGCTTTCTGCACATGGCTAGCCAGTTTTTCCAACACCATTTATTAAACAGGGAATCCTTTCCCCATTGCTTGTTTTTGTCAGGTTTATCCGAGATTCTATGGTTGTAGATAGGTTGTGTTGCTTCCAATGTCTCTGTTCTGTTCCATTGGTCTATATCTCTGTTTTGGTACCAGTACCATGCTGTTTTGATTACTGTAGCCTTGTAGTATAGTTTGAAGTCTGGTGGTGTGATGCCTCCCGCTGTGTTCTTTTTGCTTAGAATTGACTTAGCTATGTGGGCTCTCTTTTGGTTCCATATGAAGTTTAAGGTGGTTTTTTCCAGTTCTGTAAAGAAGGTCATTGGTAGCTTGATGGGGATAGCGTTGAATGTGTAAATTACTTTGGGCAGTATGGCCATTTTCACAATATTGATTCTTCCTAACCACGAAAGAGAATCGCTACTATTCTCTTTGTAACGATTGCGAATGGCAGTTCGTTCTTGATTTGGCTCTCTTTAAGTCTGTCATTGGTGTATAGGAATGCTTGTGATTTTTGCACATTGATTTTGTATCCTGAGACTTTGCTGAAGTTGCTTATCAGTTTCAGGAGTTTTTGGGCTGAGACGATGGGGTCTTCCAGATATACTATCATGTCGTCTGCAAATAGAGACAATTTGGCTTCCTCCTTTCCTATTTGAATACCATTTATTTCTTTTTCTTGCCTGATTGCTCTGGCTAGAACTCCCAGTACTATATTGAATAGGAGTGGTGAGAGAGGGCATCCTTGTCTAGTGCCAGATTTCAAAGGGAATGCTTCCAGTTTTTGCCCATTCAGTATGATATTGGCTGTTGATTTGTTGTAAATAGCTTTTATTATTTTGAGATACATTCCATCAATACCGAGTTTATTGAGGGTTTTTAGCATAAAGGGCTGTTGAATTTTGTCAAAGGCCTTCTCTGCGTCAATTGAGATAATGATGTGGTTTTTGTTTTTGGTTCTGTTTATGTGGTGAATTACGTTGATAGACTTGCGTATGTTGAACCAGCCTTGCATCCCCAGGATGAATCCTACTTGATCATGATGGATAAGCTTTTTGATGTGCTGTTGCATTCGGCTTGCCAGTATTTTATTGAAGATTTTTGCGTCTATGTTCATCATGGATATTGGCCTGAAGTTTTCTTTTCTTGTTGAGTCTCTGCTGGGTTTTGGTATCAGGATGATGTTGGTCTCATAAAATGATTTGAGAAGGATTCCCTCTTTTTGGATTATTTGGAATAGTTTCAGGAGGAATGGTAACAGTTCCTCTTTGTGTGTCTGGTAGAATTCAGCTGTGAACCCATCTGGACCTGGGCTTTTTTTGTGTGGTAGGCTCTTAATTGCTGCCTTAACTTTAGATCTTGTTATTGGTCTATTCATAGTTTCGACTTCTTCCTGGTTTAGGCTTGGGAGGACACAAGTGTTCAGGAATTTATCCGTTTCTTCCAGGTTTACTAGTTCATGTGCATAGAGTTGTTTGTAATATTCTCTGATGATGGTTTGAATTTCTGTGGAATCTGTGGTGATTTCCCCTTTATCATTTTTTATTGCATCTATTTGGTTATTCTCTTTTCTTTTCTATTAATCTGGCTAGTGGTCTGTCTATTTTGTTGATCTTTTCAAAAAACCAGTTCTTGGATTTATTGATTTTTTTGAAGGGTTTTTCGTGTCTCTATCTCCTTCAGTTCTGCCCTGATCTTACTTATTTCTTGTCTTCTGCTAGGTTTTGAGTTTTTTTGATCTTGCTCCTCTAGCTCTTTCAATTTTGACGATAGGGTGTTGAGTTCAGGAGTTTAAGAGCATCCTGGCCAACATGGTGAAACCCCATCTCTACTAAAAATGCCAAAAAAATATTAGCCAGTTGTGGTGGTGCACGCCTGTAGTCCCAGCTACTCGGGAGGCTGAGGCAGGAGAACCTGGGAGGTGAAGGTTGCAGTGAGCAGAGATTGCACCACTGCCCTCCAACTTGGATGACGGGAGCAAGACTTTGTCTCAAAAAAAAAAAAAAAAAGAAGACGAAAAAGGGCAACTAGTAGTAGCAAATAATTTTTCTCCACTAAAAATTTTAAGTTCATTATTGAAATTGAGAGTATTATTCTCTAGTCTCTTTAACTGATCAGTTGAGAGTTCCCGGAACAACATGATATATTAACATCTTTGGGTTAAATCCTATCTTTTGAAATAGGGATAACATTTTGAAATATTTGGTTTAATATAATTAGGTGCTAAGGAAAATCTTATTCCCATGCCAAAGAGCAACATTATAACAGCGTCTATTTTATATCTTTGTTGATAATTAGAATTTAATAATGATAATTTTGGGAACAAATTTGACCAAAGGGAAGACGGAGTAAACAGCATCCTTTTATGTTGGTTAAGTGGTCAAAAATTTTGCAGAGGAAAAAAAAAGGAGCGAGAGATCCCTTATCACATCCTGGTTACTCTGAAGGATCTCCTCCCTTAGTTTACTTGAAATATTATAACTTTCAAAAAAATAACTAATGGCTTGCGAAGTTTCAGAGAAAAAGGAACACTTACACACTGTTGATGGGAGTGTAAATTAGTTCAACCTTAGTGGAAAGCAGTGTGGCAATTCCTCAAGACCTAAAAACAGAACTTTCATTAGGCCCAGCAATCTCATTACTGGCTATATACCCAAAGGAATATAAATGGTTGTCTCATAAAGACATAAGGCACACGTATGTTCATTGAAACACTATTCACAATAGCAAAGACATGGAATCAACCTAAATGCCCATCAGTGGTAGACTGAAAAAAGAAAATATGGTACATACACACTATGGAATACTATGTAGCCATAAAAAGGGAAGAGATTATGTCCTTTGCAGTAATGTGGATGGAGCCTGGAGGCCATTATTCTTAGCAAACTAACAAAGGAACAGAAAACCAAATACCACATGTTCTTGCTTAAAAGTGGGAGCTAAATGATGAGAACATATGGACACAAAGAGGGGAACAACATACATTGGGGCCTGTCAGAGGGTGGAGGGTGGGAGGAAGGAGAGGATCAGGAAAGATAACTAATGGGCAGTAGGCTTAATACCTGGGTGACAAAATAATCTGTATGACACACCCCTGTGACAAGTTTATCTTTACAACAAACCTGCACATATACCCCCAAACCTAAAATAAAAGTTAAAAGTAAATAACCTTAAAGCCCTTCTCCCAAATGAATGCTGTGCCCATAGCCTTCCTCTTTAGCCAAGAGCAGTTCTTGTATTTTGTTCCCAAAAGCTTTTTGTCCATTGACAGGTAAGAGCTTTTTGCCCTGTCATAGTCCGTAGTGTGTGATGACCTTATAGAATACAGAATACAACTCCTGTCAAACCTGGTTTCTCACTTACTTCCCTCCCCAACAAAGCTATGTGGCTTTATCAACAATGATGGTAATTTTGTTTCTGATCTTGTGATTTAAGAACTAATGTTATAAACCCACAGAGACTAGCTAGTGTATTTAATTATAGCCATAGGCTTGTTAAAATATTGGTAGAGAACTTGGCAGAACCTAACATCTTTAAAATAGCAATGTTCAACTCAGTATATAACCGTCTCCTCCTTACTATCTTTTTGGTTTTATCTGAGAAACATATTACTTTTTTCCCTCTTTTCTTTCTTTTAAAGGTAATGCTCAAGTTTGAGGACTGTCATGGGGACTATCGGGTTTTTTTTAAGGCGTGTGTTTTCTTTTTCTTCAAATTAAAACCTGTTGTCTGTCTGTCTCTTGTCATTTTTCAGGACAGCCACACTCGGGGCTCCTACAGTCTGGGGTCATAAGCTGCTATGTCACCTACCTCACCTTCTCAGCTCTGTCTAGCAAACCTGCAGAAGTAGGTAAGCTAGCCTGTTAGGGGGCTTGTGTTTGCAGTGTATTTTCATTCATGGAGGAATGAGCTATTGTTTACATATGGGAGAGGCCATGGAGATAGAGCCCAGAAGGATGGTTACCAGAGGCTGAGAAGGGTTCGGGGGAGGTTTGGGAGGAGGTTGGGATGGTTAATAGGTACCAAAAAAATTTAAAAAGAATGAATAAGACCTAGTATTTGATAGCACAACAGGATAACTATAGTCAAATTTAATTGTACATTTGAAAATAACTGAAAGAGTATAATTAGATTGTTTGTAATGCAAAGGATAAATGCATGATGGGATGGATACTCCATTTTACATGATATTGTTACGTATTTCATGCCTGTATTAAAACATCTTGTGTACCCCTTAAATACATACACCTACTATCCACAAAAATTACATTAAGAAATAAAAACAAATATTAGAAATGTACTAAATCACAGTAGAGAGATGATCTAGACTTCTTCATGGAAAAAAGTCTTTAACTTGAGCTACGAAAAGGACAATTCCCTTTTTGATTCTTCCTGGTGTATAGGACAGACAGGAACAAAGGTTTGGCTGTGCAGTTTGCTTTTAGGCCCAAATAACCTCTTAATTTAGTTGGTTATTTCTTTTCTTTTTTTTTTCCCCCTGACTATAGTAGTGGAACAGAGAGAGTGGAAAGAACGTGGGGGAGTGGAGAGCGGGGAGCAGGATCTGAGCCCAGATCCATGATTTACTGGCTATGTGACCTCGAACCACTCGTCTTAAATGACGTTTATTTACAGAGACAGCAGACTATAGTGATTAGAGCATGACCTTTGAAGTCGGACTGCCTGGTTTGTAGACTGATCCTGCCACTTAACTAACTTGCAGAAACTTACTTACCTCTCTGTTACTTTTGTGATATATAAATGTAAATACACGCACATACATACATACATACACACGAACATATATAAATGTATGTTTGGGTATATTTGAGCTTATGTAAGTCAAATAAATGTAGTCTTTAAGAAAATTGAAGTTATTTCCTCTTTTAAGTTTGGAAAGCTAGTGCAATGATAATTTTGAAGGTGTTAGCATATACACATACTATATATGGACTTGCCCTTATTGCTACTGATAGTGGAAAGTAATATAAGTGGAGGTCTTAACAGTAAGTATTGCCTTTCCTGGATTTCATTTTATTTTTAATACTCTATCTTGACTCTGTAAGTTTACTTAAATTTAGTCTCTTTTTTTTTTTTTTTGAGACGGAGTTTCGCTCTTGTTACCCAGGCTGGAGTGCAATGGTGTGATCTCGGCTCACCGCAACCTCCGCCTCCTGGGATCGGGCAATTCTCCTGCCTCAGCCTCCTGAGTAGCTGGGATTACAGGCACGCGCCACCATGCCTAGCTAAGTTAGTGTATTTTTAGTAGAGACAGGGTTTCACCATGTTGACCAGGATGGTCTCAATCTCTTGACCTCGTGATCCACCCGCCTCGGCCTCCCAAAGTGCTGGGATTACAGGCTTGAGCCACCATGCCCGGCCAAATTTAGTCTCTTTAAGGCCTTCTTTTATGTATTAATTTCTGGTTTTAACTTAATGGGAATTTTATTTACAACATTTTTAAATGGCAGATCTCCCTTAAAAACAGAAAAAAAGGCTGAGCATGGTGCTCATGCCTGTAATCTAGGCACCTTGGGAGGCTGAGGCAGGAAGATTGCTTCAGGCCAGGAGCTGAGACCAGCCTTGGCAACATAGCATTTCTACCCCCCCCCAAAAAAAAAAGTTATTTTAAATTTCAAATACTGTTTTTAAAAATTAGCCCAAGAATAAAGATTTGTGAAACCACAGCATACACAGGGAAGTTTATAGCATTAAGTGCCTACATCAGAAAAGCAGAAAAATCAAAAATTAACAATGTAACGTTGTACCTGGAACTAGAAAATCAAGAAGAAACCAAACCCAAACCAAAAAATTGTCTCGTTTGTTGATGATATGATTCTATAGGTAGCAGAACAAAAGAAATAACAAAGATTGGCCAGGCACGTTGGCTCACACCTGTAATCCCAGCACTTTGGGAGGCCGAGGCAGGTAGATCATGAGGTCAGGAGATCAACCATCCTGGCCAACATGGTGAAATCCTGTCTCTACCAAAAATACAAAACTTAGCTGGGCATGGTAGCACACGCCTGTAATCCCTACTCAGCTACTCAGGAGGCTGAGGCAGGACAATCGCTTGAACCGGGGAGTTGGAGGTTACAGTGAGCCAAGATCACGCCACTGCACTCCTGCCTGGCAACAGAGCAAGACTCTGTCTCAAAAAAAAAAAAAAAAAAATTACAAAGATCAGGGCTGTGTGAGGTGGCTCATGCCTGTAATCCCAGCACTTTGGGAGGCTAAGGCAGGCAGATCTCTGGAGCCCAGGAGTTTGAGACCAGCCTGGGCAACAGGACAAACCCTTGTCTCTACAAAAAATACAAAAAATTAGCCAGGCATGGTGGCGCATGTCTGTAGTCTCAACTACTCTGAAAGCTGAGGTGGGAGGATCACTGAAGCCCCAGAGGTTGAGGCTGCAGTGAGGTATAAGCTCTGATTGCACCACTGTACTCTACCCAGGGCAACAGAGGGGGACTTTGTCTCAAAAAAAAAAAAAAGCCATCAGAAACTAAATTAAATGAAGACTGCTTTTCCCCCCAAACCACCCCCGCCTGTGAGAAAAATACAGAGGATCAACAAAACAAAACAAAAGTTGGTTTGTTGAAAAGATAAACAAAAGTGATAAGGTCCTAGGCTAACCAAGAAGAGAGAAGACCAAATCAACAAAATGAGAAATGAAAAAGGAAAAAAATCACAATAATGCCACAAAAGCACAAAAGATCATTACAGACTATTATGAACAACCGTTTACTTACAAACTAGAAAACCTAGAGGAAGTGGATACATTTCTGGAAAGCAAGAAGGAATAGAAATCCTAAACAGGCCAGTACTGAGTAGTGATATCGAATCAGTGATTTAAAAAACTCTTCCAGTAAGAAAAAGCCCAGGACTGGAGTCATATGTTTAGAGTCATAGCCAAATCCTACCAAACATATAAGAGAGAACGGATACCAGTCCTCCTGAAATTGTGCCAAAAAATGGAAGAGGAGAGAATTTCCCTGACTCATTATACAAGGCCAGTATCACCTTGAATAAGAAAAAAGAAAATTACAGACCAATACCCCTGATGAACATAGACGGAAAAATCTTCAAAAAATACTAGCAAACAGAATGTAGTAGTACATCGAAAGATAATACAATAAATGATACATTATATGTTACATATTACATAAACAGAATTAAGGATAGACACCATATGCTCATTTCAATAGATGCAGAAAAAGCATTTGTTAAAACTCTGCATCTCTTCATGGTAAAAAAAAAAACAACTCAATAAACTAGGAATATAACTTAAAATAGTAAATAGAAAGAATACAGCTTAAAATAATAAAGGTCATATATGACAGACCCACAGCCAACATCATACTGAGTGGGGGAAAATGGGAAACATTCCTTCTGAGAACTGGGCCAAGGCAAGGGTGCCTGCTTTCACCACGCCTAGTCACCATAGTACTAGACTGTCCCAGTTGGGGCAGTCAGGTGAGAGGAAGAAATAAAAGGCATCCCAATTGGAAAAGTGGAAGTCAAATTGTCTTGTTTGTTGATGATTTGATTCTATAGCTAGAAAACCCGAAAGGCTCCACCAAAACATGCTTAGATTGAATAATGAATTCAGTAATAATACAGTATACAAAATCAACATACAAAAATTAGTAGTGTTTTGGCTGAGTGCATTGGCTCACGCCTATAATCCCAGCACTTTGGGAGGGCAAGATGAGTGGATCATTTAAGATCAGGAGTTCAAGATCAGCTTGGCCAACATGGTGAGACCTCATCTCTATCAAAATTACAAAAATTAGCCGGGTATGGTGGTGCCCATGTCTGCAATCCCAACTACTTGGGAGGCTGAAACAGGAGAATCACTTGAACCCAGGAGGCGGAGGTTGCAGTGAGCTGAGATCCTGCCACTGTACCAAGCCTGGGTGACAGCAAGGCTCTTCCTCAGGAAAAAAAAAAAAAAATTAGTAGTGTTTCTATACACTAGTAATCATCTAGCAGAGAACCAAATCAAGAAGACAGTCCCATTTACAGGAGCTACAAAAAGTAAAATAACTAGGAATAAATTTAACGAAGGAGGTGAAAGATCTTTACAATGAAAACTACAAAACACTGATGAAAAAATGAAAGGGAGGGGTCATGTGTAGTGGCACATGCCTGTGGTCCTAGTACTTTGGGAGGCCAAGGTGGGAGGATGGCTTGAGGCCAGGAATTTGAGACCAGCCTGAGCAACATAGCAAAACTCCGTCTCTACAAAAAATTTACAAATTAGCTGGGTGTGATGGCATGCACCTGTAGTTCTAGCTATTTATGGGGTTGAGGTGGAAGGATCACCTGAGCCCAGGAGTTTGAGGTTACAGTAAGCTATGATCAGGCCACTGTACTCCAGACTGGGTGAAAGAGCAAGACCATGTCTCATAAACAAAGAGGGGAAGGGGATGCAAGCAAATGGAAAGACGTCCAATACTCATGGATCACAATAATCAATATTATTAAAATGACCATATTGCCTAAAGCAGTCTTACAGATTCAGTGCTATCTCTATCAAAATACCAATGATATTTTTCACAGAAAAAGAATAAACAATTCTAAAATATGTATGGAGACAACAGAGCCAGAATAGCTAAAGCAATTCTAAGCAAAAAGAGCAAAGCTTGGAGGAATCTCACTTCAAAACTGGAGGAATTCTGACTTCAAATTATGCTACAAAGTACAGTAAGCAAAACAGCATGGTATTTGTATAAGAACAGATCCATGGAACAGAATAGAGAACCCAAAAGTAAAACCACATATCTATAGCCATCTGTTCATTGCCAAAAATATAACAGGAAAGGATATCCTCTTCAATAAGTGGTCCTGAAAAATCTGGATTTCTATATGCTAAAGAATAAAACTGAACCCCTATTAAACCCATGTCTCTCATCACATACAAAAATCAACACAAGGTAGGTTAAAGACTTACATGTAAGGCCTACAACTATAAAAATACTAAAAGAAAACCTAGGAAAACCCTTCTGGGCATTGCTCTAGGCAAAGAATACATGACTGAAACCTCAAAAGCACAGACAATAAAACCAAAACCAGACTAATGGAACTGTGTTAATCTAAGCAGCTTCTGCACAGCAAAAGAAATAATCAACAGAGTGAGGAGACAACCTGCAGAATCAGAGAAAATACTTGCAAACAGTGTCTGCTAGGGGAGCAATATGCAGAATTTACAAGAAGCTCAATTCAACAACAAAAAATTAGCAAATAATCCCATTTAAAAGGGGTCAATCTGGGTGTGGCAATTCCTTAAGGATCTAGAAATAGAAATTGCATTTGACCCAGTAATCCCATTACTGGTTATATACCCAAAGGACTATAAATTGTTCTATTATAGAGATACATGCACACATATATTCATTGTGGCACCATTTACAATAGCAAAGACCTGGAACCAACCCAAATGCCCATCAGTGGTAGACTGGACAAAGAAAATGTGCCACATACACACCATGGAATACTGTGCAGCCATAAAAAACGATGAATTCGTGTACGTTGTAGGGACATGGATGAATGTGGAAACCATGATTCTCAGCAAACTGACATAAGAACAGAAAACCAAACACCGCATGTTCTCACTCATAGGTGGGTGTTGAACAATGAGAACACATGGACACAGGGAGGGGAACATCACACACTGGGGTCTATTGTGGGGTGGGGGGCTAGTGGAGGGACAGCAGTGGGTGGGGAGGGATAACGGGAGAAATGCCAGGTATAGATGCTGGGGGGATGGAGGCAGCAAACCACCTTGCCATGTATGTACCTATGCAACATTCCTGCATATGTACCCTAGAACCTAAAGTACAGTTTTTAAAAAGTGGTCAAAGGACATGAATAGTCGTTTTTTTCCTAAAGAAGACATACAAATGGCCAACAGGCATATGAAAAAAAATCCCCAACATTGCTAATCATCAGAGAAATGCAAATTAAAACCACAACAAACACCATTTCACACCAGTCAGAATGGCTATTATTAAAGAGACAAAAAGTAGCAGATGTTGGTAAGGATGTGGAGAAACAGGAACACTTATACTGTTGATGGGAATGTAAATTAGCATAGCTTCCATGGGAAACTGGAGATTTCTCAGAGAACTAAAAATGGAGCTACCATTTGATCCAGCAGTCCCACTACTGGGTACCTATGAAAAGGAAAATAAATCATTATATCAAAAAGATACCTGCACCTCTGTGTTTATTACAGCACTGTTCACAATAGCAAAGATAGGGAATCACCCTAAGTGTCCATCAGTAGATGATTAGATAAAGAAAATGTCATACACACACACGCACATGAATACTATTCAGCCATAACAAAAAATGAAATCCTGTCTTGTAGCAACATGGATGGAACTGGAGGCCATTATCTTAAGTGAAACAAGCAGACACAGAAAGACAAATACTTGTATGTTCTCACTTTTAAATGGGAGCTGAATAATGTGTACACATGGATATGAATATGGAATGATAGACAGTGTAGACCAAACATGGGAAGGAGGGAGGGGATGGATGGTGAGAAATTACTTAATGGGTACAATATGCGTTATTTGGGTGATAGATACACTAAAAGCCAAGACTTCACCACTGTATAATCTAGCCATGTAAAAAAGTTACCCCACAAATTTATACAAATAATAAACGATTCCTTAAAGCACAGCGTACACGGTTATGTTTACTGTTTCAAGTACAAATATCAGTCATAATTTTAGTCTAACTTAAAACACTTAAAATATGCACGTTTCTAAGTGGTTTCTCGAGTATTATTTTAAGTTACTTGCTTTGGTGGCAAAGTTGGCAGTCAGACCTAGGTTGGGTATTCCAAGTGGAAGACTTCACGTTAGGTAAAAGGCAAATTACCACTGGTGGTTAACATTATAGGAATCTTTGTTAGGTAGTGTTTGGAATAACTCAGTTTTTCCTCACACACTACGACACTCAACACAGACGGTTTCTGTGACCCTAAAATATGTGGAGATTTCTCCCCACCAGCAAGTAGGCAGTAAGTTCCTCAGTGGACATCAGTTGGGTATCCTCTAGTCCAGTTCGGATGCTGTACCTGGAGGTGAGGTCAGATCCCACAGGTTGAAGGCTCAGTTCCACAGAACAGCCCTACCATTCCCACTAGTCACAAGTCCGGCCCTCCAGAACTTCTGACCAACAGGCTTCAAGTTGGGGCTCCCACAGTTACCCCTTCCTTGGGGTGATTTAATTTCATGGAGTGGCTCACAGAACTCAGGAAATACTTTACCGATTTATTACAAAGGATATTTTAAAGAATAAAAATAAACAGGCAGGTGAAAAGATATATAAGGCAAGGTCTGGAAGGGTCCCCAGCTTCTGTCTCCATGGAGTTAGGGTGGCTGGCTTCCTATCATGTGGATGAGGTTCTTGTTCACCTTCCTGTAAGTGTCCAGCCCTCAGGAAGCTCTCTGAACCATTTCCTTTTGGGCCTTTTATGGAGACTTCATTACATAGGCATGATTGATTAAATGATTAAACCACTGGCCCTCGGTGATCAACTACCATTCCTCCCATTCCTGGAGTTTGGAGAGTGGGTCTGAAAGTCCCAACCCTCTAATCCTACCTTGGTCTTTCTGGTGACCAGCCCCCATCCAGAAGCTCCCTAGGAGCTGCCAGCCGTTAGTCAATCATTAACATACAAAAAGACACCACTTTGGAGATTTCAAGGATTTAGGAGTTGTATGCAAGTAAATGCAGATGAAGACCAAATATATATTTTATAATCCCACCTCTCTTTTAAAAAAAGATCCAGAGTCATACACAGAAAGGTAACATGATTATCATATCACTTAGAGCAAAATAACTTCTCAACTGGGTTAGGAGCTATTGTTGGCTGTTGATTAGCCTCAGCACTGCTTGGTATCTGCACCCTACCTCTCTTTAGGGGCTGCTGCCCCCTCAACTGAAAAATGCACCTGACTTGTCTTCTTACTATTGTAACTGAGTGAGCACGAAATCACTACTGAGACAGAGACTTGGCCAAATTACACGGTCTTAATTGCTCACGGCCATGGAGGACTCTCGTCTCTCTAACCTGTGGCCCCAAAAGGAGGGTGTCAAGACCTTTTATGCCCGTAAACCACCTCCTGGGTGGGGGTGGGGGCGAGGGGCTTTGCACATTCCGAGGGCCAGGGGACTTTGGACATTCCGATTGTTGCTTAAGTGATTCACAGAAGTCAAGATAAGCGTTAGTTTGCACATTGTCTGAGTAGGATGGAAATTACAGACCTTATTTACTTACTACAAGTCTTAAAATGGTGCAGGGGCCAAAATGGCATTGGTTTGGACTGCTTGCCTGTCACATTAGGGTTATAGAGAGCAGTTTCAACGGAAAGCCGAGGTATGGTTGAGGTATGGGGTTTATGGGGCGATTACCATGTCACATTACTATTGTTTGAATAGTACTGAAAAGGAGCAAGACCTTGGGCCCTGGATATGTTTGAGCCCCATGGCACTGAGCTGGAGTCTGAGAGTCTTGTTCCAAGTGTGTGCTGTTGTGGGAGAATGGTTCTTTGAAATAGCAGAAAGCCAGTCTGCATGGAAACAGCCTGTAGAGTAGTTTCCAGTGATATGTATTCACTGTTCTAAGGAGGTACACCACAGCTCTCTGAATTTTCCCAAAATGAGTGCTTCTGCGAGTTACAAATGGGTTTTTCATTTGACTGTGATGACCATGTTTTTTCTTTACAAGTTCTAGATGAGCATGGGAAAAATATTACCATCTGTGTGCCTAACTTTGGTCAAGACCTGTACAAAGATGAAAACTTGGTGACTATACTGGGGACCGGCCTCTTAATCGGATGTATCTTGTATTCATGGTAAGTCTTGGGAGTTACTCAAGGCCATTTTTATAGACTTTGAAATTCCAGGAAAAGAATCAAAATAACTTTCAGTACCTGTGAGGTGGAAAAACAAACACCATTTGAGGAAAGGGGAAACCAGCCACAAGTGAAAAGGTGAAGAGCATGAACTCTAAATATTTGAACTTCGTTTACCTTACTTGTTTTTGTTTGGGATAACGAAGGCAAATATATGGTATGTCGCAGCACCATTGCCTAAGATGCTTCAATAGTAGTTTGCTACACCCTTACTGGAGGGCAGGGGAGCACACAGTGAGGAAGAGATAGAATGTGCCAGGATGTCCTGGCAGCTAGCTTGCCTGCCTGCCTCCCTCCCTCCCTCTTGCCCAGGCTGGAGTGGCCTGATCTTGGCTCACTGCAACCTCTGCCTCCTGGGTTCAAGCGATTCTTTTGCCTCAGCCTCCCAAGTAGTTGGGACTACAGGCACGCATCACTGTGTCTGGCTAATTTTTGTGTTTTTAGTAGAGATGGGGTTTCACCATATTGGCCAAGCTGGTCTTGAACTCCTGACCTTGTGATCAGCCCGCTTTGGTCTCCCAAAGTGCTGGGATTACAGGCATGAGCCACTGTGCCTGGCCCTGTTTTAAGATGCAGTTTCACTCTTGTTGACCAGGCTGGAGTGCAATGGTGAGAGCTCTGCCTGCCTCAACCTCCGCCTCCTGGGTTCAAGCGATTCTCTTGCCTCAGCCTCCTGAGTACCTGGGATTACAGGCATGCACCACCATGCCAGGCTTATTTTGTATTTTTGGTAGAGACAACGTTTCTCCATGTTGGTCAGGCTGGTCTCAAACTCCCAACCTCAGGTAATCTGCCCACCTTGGCCTCCCAAAGTGCTGGGATTATAGGTGTGAGCCACCGCGCCCGGCCTATCCTGGCAGCTTTCTCATCCAAAGGAAATAGTTTGTTCTGCTGTTGATGGAGAGTACTAAGTGCTGCATGCATGGTCTTTGTGTGCAGACAAGGAATGGTCCTTCTTCTTCTCTGCTAAAGCCCGCAATGCTGTTGTTCAGTAGGCAAGGCAGCTTCTCCGAAAGTAGGTTGATATCTGAGTGGACTGTGTTTCAGACGATTGTGGTGGGGGTTATTCCCACCATAAAAAGGTTTAAAAATGGCTATAGGGAGAACAGTCAAGGACACGAATGATTAGTCTGGGTATATATTTCACTGATAACTAAGTTTCCCTTTGACAGTAACTTTTTCACATTTAGCCTTTACTTCGGTGTTTACGTTTTGTTCATGTTTCAGTATAAAATTTCAATTTAGTTGAATTCAGTCATAGGCACATTGTAACCTTCCTCTTTGCTTAAACTAAACACTCCTGGTGGTGATAGCTTGTATAAATACAATGTCTTTGTGAGCATGTTGACATTTTCTCTTACCTCATTTAATAGTTTCTACTATTAGAAAGGGACCAACAGGGACACAGACCTTTTAGAGTTTGTTTGCCCAGGGTCATGTATCAAGCCATAACATATTTGTTGTTTTGCAGGTGGGTGTTAAGTTGATGGTTACATACATTCATTCTCGGTCTGTGTGTCACATGCTGACAGGCTCCCTGTTGCAGAATGAACTGTAGTGACTTCTTTCTGGCCTTTAGATTTTATTCCATAAGTTGTTCACTGAGTAGCTACCATATAGGAAGCAGGCTGGGTGGTACAGTGGCTCACACCTGTAATCCCAGCACTTTGGGAGGCTGAGGCAGGAGGATCACTTAAGCCCAGGAGTTTGAGACCAGCCTGGACAACATAGTGAGACCCTGTCTCTACCAAAAAAAATTGGCATGGTAGCGTGTGTCTGTGGTCCCAGCTACTTGAGAGGCTGAGATGGGAGGATCGCTTGAACCCAGGTGTCTTAAGGCTGCAGTGAGCTGGGGATAGCTCCACTCTAGCCTAAGCAACAGAGTGAGACCCTGTCTCTTAAAAAGAAAAAAAATAAAAAATAAAAAAGATATTTGACAGGATAAAATCATGTTTTTATGGGCTACTGGGTACCTAATAGTATATGGGGAAAAAAAATTGCCCTTGGCTGGGCACGGTGGCTCATGCCTGTAATTCCAGCACTTTGGGAGGCCGAGGTGGGCAGATCGCCTGCCTGAGGTCAGGAGTTCAAGGCCAGCCTGGCCAACCTGGTGAAACCCCGTCTCTACCAAAAATACAAAAATTAGCTGGATATACCACTGTGGTGGTATACCCCTGTAATCCCAGCTACTTGGGAGACTGAGGCTAGAGAATTGCTTGAACTCAGGAGGTAGAGGTTATAGTGAGCTGAGATCATGGCATTGCACTCCAGCCTGGGCAACAAGAGTAAAACTCTATCTCAAAAAAAAAAAAAAAAAAAAAATTTCCTTTAGATAAAGTAGAGTTTGGATTTGCCATAAACCCTTCAATGGAAAAGGTGGCAAAAGTTCTTAGCTTTCTATATAGGGTTACCACACATAGGATATCTCACAACACAGAATTTTCCCCCGTCATATTTTCTCAGGATTTCTAAGGTGTAAAGAATTACTTCTTAGTTACCCCTGAGTCAGCCCTTAGAGATGATAAATAAATGTTGTCTCTGATAGGATTGAGGCACCATAGTGGAGATTGGCAAGGGCTAGTCTGGTATTCCAATAGATGTCTATTTTCAAAGTTGATAGCTACTTAAAAAAAAAATCTGTCTAATGCCAGCAACAAACTATTATTGAATGTTTGTAGTTAAATCACAAAACTGCAGTGCCTGGTGGGATGAGAGCATGTAAAACAGCAGCCCCTACAAAGCAGATATTAGGATGAACAGTCTGCTCTGTGGGGTACTTCTGTAATCAGTAGGCAAGAGAGCACACTCTGAGCTGGGCAGTTCATGCCTCCTAGGAGTAAACGCCCCCAGGGTCTGTGTGATTGATATTTGTTGTAGTTATCTGCTATAGCTCCTGCAGGGGTCAGCTTTAAAAACACTGAATTCAGGCTTAGTAGGGCCTGGGAATAAAAGGAATGCTGTATGGGTGGGAGTCACCTTAACTAGGTTTTTTTCAGATCTGGCTTCTGAAGAGTTTGTTTTCCTACCTGACTCAGAGGAATGAAAGGCTGGAGGATGTTACAAAAAGGCCACATCGTCTGGGTGGGAACTGTCATTTGAGCATAATTGCAGGAATATCTAGGATTCTTGATAGAAATTGTAGGAAGCCAGAGACTCTAGATAGTTTGTAGGTTAAAAGGAGAAGGCTGGCAAGGTCACCTGGGGTCCACTCTTCTGTAAAGTTGTAGAAGACTGGAAAGCTCCCCAGCTCCTCTCTTTCCTTCCCCTCCAGAGTCCCCCAGTTCCACCCCCAAACACTTGGTTCTTTTGAGGTATCTGTCCTGACTCTTGCAGCCGGGGGACTCACTAGGAGTATGTTTTAATGTTTCAGTCCCAGCTCAGAAGAAGGGCTCAACCCAAACCTACTCCCTGCCTTTCTGCCTGGGGCCGCCTTTTCTCCGGAGCCTTCTTCCATTGCACCCAGGAATTATGACTGTGAAAGAGCATCAGCTTGGACCCCATGGAAGCCCCATCACCTTGGTCCACTTGTGAGAGTTCCCTGATGGCTCTTTTTATTTTTTTTAATTAAAAAAAATTTTTTTAAAGGCAAGCTCCCACTGTATTACCCAGGCTGGGTAAACCCCTGTGCTCAAGGAATCCCTGTGCTTCAGCCTCCCAAATAGCTGGGACTACAGGCACAACCATGGCGCCTGGCTTCCTGATGGCTCTTTCTATACACCCACCCCTCTACACCCCTTTAGTCTGGAACTTTGCTGTGACAAGCCCTGACCTCCAGAAACTATTTCTAATTTCCCCCTTGGTCCCTGGATTTTGACAGAAATTGTTACTCTGTTGCCTTCAGCTGTCAGCCTGGACAGGATCCTGGAGTTAATTAGGTCAGTCTCCTCATTGAGCATGTAAGGATGCTTGGAGCCTGTATCTGCAGCGCTCTACTCTCAATTTTGAGCAGCCTTTCCTTGAGGCTGCTTTGCCAGAGTGTTTAGGGAGACTGGTGGATAGTCTCTCTCTGGCTCTTTTTCCTGAGATGGTTTGAAGCAGTGTCCCCTGAGGGAGAAGGAGAAGCTGGATGACCTGCCTAATTATATTACTACAAGGCATTTGCACTATAAAGTTTCCTGGCCATTCCACTTTTATTTGTGTTTAAGAGAAAATATATAGTTCTTAATATTAAACCATCTTTGAGAATATCTTTTTAAATGTAAAATTGGAAAAAGTAAGAATCTTTATTCAACGTCAAACAACTTCCTAGTCTGAAGTGGGGAAGTTTGCAGATACAGGTTGGTGTGATAGCATTGGCAAGGGGATTGGTTTACATTAAGAAAAGTTGGGAAGTCAAGGAAGGGTATGTATACTTTTGTATGTTCTGGGCCTGCTACTTTAAGGGTAGGGGGCAGGAAGGAGGAGGAGATTTGTCTTTTCATTTTGAGAATTCTGTTCCAGCCGGACTCGACAGCTAGAAATCTTCAAGTTAGAAATCTTCCACCTCATGCCCCAGGTTCACAGAGAGCTTGGGTCTCTTTTGGGTTCTACAGCACAGGGGAGCATGACTGATCTTCATCAGCACACAAAGGCTGGGAATAGGTGGGATCCGTCAAGGGCCTGCCCTGTACATTTGTTAGGGAACAGAATGTGTGATCTCCAGGAACATTTGGATGTATTATTTAGATATTTTCTGTGGTCTAGTGGACTTTAGCCAGCTTCAAAAGCATCTGCAGTGCCAGTGTTGAGGGGCCCCTTCATTGTGCATTCTTCTGCCAGTGTGGAAGGGGTTCTGGCCACTGTAGTGGTTCTGCAGGGAAACAGAGAATGGCTTTTTTTTTTGGCTGTCACCATGACTGCAGAGCACCGCTGGCATTTTGGGGTGGGGTGGGACAGCACCGGGCAGAGACAGTAAACACACTGTGGTGCGTTAGACATTCTCCGTACAATAAAGCATTGTGTCAGCCCAGTGCTGGCAGTCTCCCTCTATCCCCACGGGAAAAACTGGGTTAAAGTCACACCTATCTTTTTTTTTTTTTTTTTTGAGACAGAGTTTCGCTCTCGTTACCCAGGCTGGAGTGCAATGGCGCAATCTCGGCTCACCGCAACCTCCGCCTCCTGGGTTCAGGCAATTCTCCTGCCTCAGCCTCCCGAGTAGCTGGGATTACAAGTCACACCTATCTTAACGCAGAAAGAGGAGCGGTTTATAGGGAACCCCAGGGATTGTTTTATAGCAATTTGTGCTATGCTCACCAAACAGTGGTCTTTTTAATAGCCTGAATGCAGACAAAATTTAATAGCCCAATGTTAGACAACATTTCCTGGGCTTTAAGAGCTTATAAAAACAACCATTCTTGATAATTCCAAGAAGAGTGTTTTATGGGGAAAGGCTACAGCTGAATAAAGATCTTTTTTTTTTTTTTGAGAAACTGAGTCTTGCTCTGTTACCCAGGCTGGACACTACAGCCTCCGCCTCCCGGGTTCAAGCGATTCTCCTGTCTCAGCCTCCCGAGTAGCTGGGATGACAGGCGCCCCCCACCATGCTCAGCTAATTTTTGTGTTTTTAGTAGAGATGGGGTTTCACCATGTTGGCCAGGCTGGCCTCAAACTCCTCAGGTGATCTGCCTGCCTCCCAAAGTGCTGGGATTACAGACATGAGCCACTATGCCCAGCAACTGAGTAAAGATCTTAATGTAGGATAACATCTACTTGTAGAAGTCACATGGCGTTAATGATGCTCTGAATGCTGTTAGTTTTAGAAGTTTAAACAAAACCTTCCCCACATTAGGTCTCTCTGACGGTGAAGTGGCAAAGGAGCCCAAATCAAGAGCTTTGTTTTTCCGGAAATTATGTTAATCCAAAGTATTTAAAGTGGAATATTTACTCTGAGTCTTTTTTTTTCTTTTGAGACAAGAGTCTCGCTTTCTTGCCTAGGCTGGAGTGCAGTAGCGTGATCTCAGCTCACTGCAATCTCTGCTTCCCAGGTGTCAAGTGATTTTCCTGCCTCAGCCGCCTGAGTAGCTGGGATTACAGGTGCCTGCCACCATGCCCAGCTAATTTTTATGTTTTTACTGGAGACGAGGTTTCGCCATATTGGCCAGGCTGGTCTGGAACTCCTGACCTCAAGGGATCCACCCGCCTCGGCCTCCCAAAGTGCTGGGATTACAGGTGTGAACCACTGCACCTGGCCTATTGTGAGTCTCTTAAATAATGAATGTTACTTTTCAAATGAAAATTGTAGATACTGATCTCTTCTTAAAATTAAAAACTTGTATTTTCCCCTGTGGAAATGATACACTGTACTAAATCAAAACTTGCATGCACAGAATAAGTGCCACTCTTTTTTTTTTTTTGAGACAGGAGGGTCTCTGTCACCCAGGCTGAAGTGCAGTGGTATGTGATTATGTTCACTGCAACCTCCCAGGCTCAGCCAATTCTCCTACTTCAGCCTCCCAAGTAGCTGGGACTACAGGCATGTGCTGCTACACCTGGCTAGTTTTTATATTTTTTGTAAAGATGGGGTTTTGCAATGTTGCCCAAGCTGGTCTCAAACTCCTGGGCTCAAGCAATCTACCTGCCACAGCCTCCGAAAGTACTGAGATTACAGGTAAGAGCCACCCCACCCAGCTGGGCCACTCTAAAAGGTAGGATCAGGTGTGTGTTCCCTAGGTGCACAGTCACTGGGAGATGTTTCTGTCTCACTCTGACCAGACACACAGTCAGGAGGCAGAGTGGCGTGGGCCTGGATTAGCATCCGTCAGTTCAAAGCAGAAATGAAAGTGATACTGTTGTACTTGAGTGGACCACAAGAGAAGCAGTGAGCTTGGATCTCAGTGGGCCTCTGTGTGAGGAAAGCTTTTTATTGTTTATCTCTGTCTTGCTGATCCCTTCTCTCTGTGGGAAAGAGGATAAGACTGCACAGAGGAGGCAGTGTTGCCCCATGAGGTTCGCTGGACTGAGATGCGTGTTTGTCCCTGCCTGTCCACGAGCAGACCAGCCTCTTGAGCACCAACACACCCTGCCTATGTCTAGGCCAGCTCAGAAGCTACATGCTGGCAGGATTGTTGCCTATGTCACTAAGTCCCCAATGCCAAGAATAGGGCCTGATACATAGTGGGTCTTCAGTAAATATTTGCTAAACGAACCTCTAAAGTTAGCTGGAACCCTAAGTATTGAATACATTTCTATTTGCTTAAAAATGTTCTGTGATGATGGGCGCGGTGGGTCATGCCTATAATCCCAGCGCTTTGGGAGGCCGAGGCGGGTGGATCACGAGGTCAAGAGATCAAGACCATCCTGGTCAACAAGGTGAAAGCCCTGTCTCTACTAAAAATACAAAAATTAGCTGGGCATGATGGTGCACACCTGTAATTTCAGCTACTCGGGAGGCTGAGGCAGGAGAATTGCTTGAACCCAGGAGGCGGAGGTTGCGGTGAGCCGAGATTGTGCCATTGCACTCCAGCCTGGGTAACAAGAGCGAAACTCCGCCTCAAAAAAAAGAAAAAAAAATGTTCTGTGTTTTCAAGGTCAGAGTTCAAGACCAGGCTGGCCAACATGGTGAAACCTTGTTAATACAAAAAATTAGCTGGGTGTGGCGGTGTGCGCTTATAGTCCCAGCTATACTTGGGAGGCTGAGGCAGGAGAATCACTTGAACCTAGGAGGCAGAGATGGTGCCATTGCACACCAGCCTGGGCAACAAGAGCAAAACTCCATCTCAAAAAAAAAATGTTCTGTGTTTTTGTTTAGTAGAGACAAGATCTTGCTATGTTGCCCAGGCTGTTCTCAAACTTCCGGCCTCAAGTGATCCTCCACCCCCTTCCTTGCAAAATATTACAAGCATGAGCCACCACTTCTGGTGTGTGTTTTTATTTTCAGAAAAAATAAATTATTTTACCCCATGCAAGGCAAATTTTCTAACATTTTACCTTTCTAGGTCTGGGGAAAGAGGCAGAATTTTTTATTACACCAACTGCTACTGTGTTAAATTTCCAAACAGCAAGCCTTGTTCTGCCATAGGCCATCACAGTTAATAACTGTGACCTTCCCTTTCATGTCCTCGATTTCTGTTGCTGTCTCTGGGCTTATTGCTTTTGATCCCCTCTAAGCAAGACTCATCAAAGGGAGGGAAAGATAAAGTGAAATTAGAAAATTATTTTAGCATTTGAGGGAGGGGAGTCAAAAAGCAATACTGACAACCAAAATATCTTACTACTACCTACAGACTTCTTTGCGTAAAATGATCTAATGTAATCCATGTAAAATGATATCAACTATAGAATCAGCCAGCCAATTTTGGAATAAGGTGGGATATTAAAATAGATTGCTTTAAGTCACCTGAACGGTAGGTGACAGTGAGGCTCTCATCAGACACGGCCAGCCGGCTTTCCCCTTTATTCCATGTGCTGTAACATGTTAATGCACCTGGCTGACTCTTTTGTTTGTTTCTTAGTTTGACATCAACCACGAGATCGAGTTCCGACGCTCTGCAGGGGCGATATGCAGCTCCTGAGCTGGAAGTAAGTTCATTTCCTTTTCCTGCCCAGCTTCAGCAGAAGATCCATTTCTCAGGAGGGCCTTTTGTGTTTGTGTCTTCAGCAGTCTGCATTCCATGATCCTGTTTTTCTGCTCAGGAAAGAAGATTTTTGTATAGAAAAACCAATGCTTTCCTTTGTATACTATGGAATTAAAATGAATCAGTCCATTCTTGATTTTCTCTAAGAAAGCTGGCCTCTTGTGTGGCATCCTGCAGCCCACCCCCACCCAGAAGCTCGGGGAACCTTATCAGGCTGCTCCCTGCTCTCCCCGCTTGCCTTCATGGAGTGTGGGTGGGTTTTATTTTAACTTCTGATCCATCCATCTGTTTCATACTTGTCTGTGCCCTCCATACACAGCATGGCTGTGAGATTATGTAGTAGCTGTTGGAAGGAAGGAGAGAGGAAATGGAAGGAACCGTATCTGCTCTGCCTGACGCTGTTGAACGTGGTAGATACATTCACTCATTTAACTGAATGTCAGTTTCATCAGGTGGGCATTTTTTCGGGTAGAGTGTCATGAACAATGCATGCATTGGTTGCCTGCACATCCAAAGCCACAAGGTGTTTAGCAGGTGCCTATCAGTTAACAAAATGTCTGTTATTTTCTTAACTATGCAAAAGTCTTCTTGGGGCTCTTAATGAAACATCTACCAACATCAGAAAGGTCTAATCAGATGGAGGTAGCCACAGCAAGACCCAGCTCTGACCCCAGAATAAAAAGAACCAGGGGTTCAAAGGATGGCTGAGACTTATAGCACTTGCTATGTCCTAGGCACCATCACTTAATCCTCATAAAACCCAGTGGCATACTATTACCTCCATTTTATAGAGGGGAAAACCAGAAGAGTTAAGTCATTTAAGCTTCACAGGTTTTGATTAGCCAGAATGTAAACTGTGCACTCTGGCCCCAGAGTCTGTGATCTTGACCCCTGCTGCCCAGGAGCTCAGCTGCTGACCCCTGGTCCTTGCTGCTGACTGCGGGCAGCTGGCATCCAGCCACTGCCTGCATTCTAATAGCTTTCCATGCATGGGAAAAGCCCTTGGGTCTGCCCACATATGGACACTTTACTCTGCAGCTGGCTGTCGGGATGGTCTCTCTTGCACCTGACCTGAAGGATAGTGAGCCATTCTGAAGGGTTGTCAGTCTGCCAGCATCATTCACCAACTCCTTCTATTGCCTAAAGGAGAAACTGTGCTGAGTTTGAATAGTTTACTGCCTATTATACAGAAGAGAATGGTCTGTAGAAGGGGCGTTTGTTCTCACCACTGACTAGGTGACCACCTGCTGAGGTTGTGTGGTTATGGCTTCAATGTCCCTATTGTGTACAGAGTTTAAGCTCAAAGAACAGCAAGTCTCCAAGTTAGGATTTAAGACAGGATGTTTTTCTTCTCAGTCCAAGGAAAAATGTCCTAGTGTTTTCTTGTGAACTGGAGAGCATGCAGGATGGAAGTTGGTTTGCTCTCCTGCATCACATTTCACAGGATACAGCTTTGAAAGTGAGAGTTCGTAGTTTCTTGCGGTAACTTGAGTTTCGAAAGAACTAAGACCTCAGCATACCGTGTCTTGGGCCCACTGAATGATGGTTTTTAGACCATGCCACTTAACCCAAGCTCCTGTTAAGGCTAATGCTTCTGTTAAAGGTTTCCTTGCCAATCAGGGAAACAAGGGCTTGGCCTTGATGTACAAATGGAATGAAAGCTCAAGCGCTCACGTTCTCATCCCTGCTTATCTGTTCTTTATAGTTGAAATATCTTCAACCACAAAGTGCTAAGGGCCCTGCACTTCCTAGGCTGTCTTACTGCTTTGTTTACCAGACTCCTGAAGTCACCTACTTTCTTTTTGCTTTTTCGTTCTTTTTTATTTTTGAGACAGGGTCTCTGTCACCCAGGTTGGAGTGCAGTAGTGGGATCATAACTCACTGTGGCCTCAGTCTCATGGGGTTAGGCAATTTTCCTCCCTCAGCTTTTTGAATAGCTGGGACTACACATGATCTGATTTAAAAATTAATTTTATTGTTTTGAGTAGGTAAGAAATAATTATAAAAAAATTTGCAAGTAACCAAAGGTGCTGCAAAGGGAAGCATTCCCTGCATCCCTGTCCATGGCCCATGCAGCAGCTTGATTTGGATAGGAAACATGGGTAGGCTGCTTCTAAATTCCTTCAGTTTACTATTTCAGGTTCTACCAGTGTCACCAAGCTCCTAGACACCACGTGTCACCTCCTGTGAATCATGGAACTTGGAGTCCCCATCCGATACTCGTCTGTCCCAGCTCTGTCACTAAGCTCTGTCACCAAAGTCACTAAGTTTGGTGACTTTGGGCAGTTAACCTGCCTGACCTGAGTTTCCTCAGCTGTAAACAGGATAATAATAATCCCAACACAAAGGTCAAAGAGGATTTAATGAAATAACATTGAAAGCAAAGCACTAGAGGGGAGCACGAGGAGAGTGGGGCTCTTGTCACGTTCATTGTGTTTCACGTTGAATTCTCCAGAAGGAAAGGCTGAAGCAGTTTGTTGCATGGGGTATTTATTAAGGATCAGCACATGTGGAGGGAAAAGGGGAAGGAGGCAAAATTGGGCAGAGGGTGAAGTAAAGGACAGTGCAGCTGGACAGAGCCTCCCTAACCCCAGGGGCCAAAATGACATGGCCTTTACCCCTGCTGTGATCAGCCATTCCATGACGGTTACCCGGAAAGGGTAAAAGAGCTGAGGTCTGGAGGTTCTCTGCCAGCATTCATGATAGCAAGAGCCAGCACCAAGACCCTGGATGGGGACCTCGGTGGCACATCTTCCATGGTGTTTCCTGTCACCAGCACCCAGCACACCTGGGAAAGAACAATCCAAATCTCTTGAAGGGATACATGCGATTCAGGATCAGGGAGGTGGTTCAAATAAGAGCATGTTTGGCCTCTGCTGCCGTACTAAGGTAGACCAGAAATAGAACACAAGCCACCTGACTGTTGCTTTTGCTTTCACAGATAGCTCGCTGTTGTTTTTGCTTCAGTCCTGGTGGAGAGGGTAAGCAGAGCATTTTTATTCTTGGCATCTGTGTGGCATTGCAGACCTATAGCTCTAATTTGTAGTCATTTGGGTTTCAGACACAAGTAACTTGATCAGTAGGGGAAATTTTTATTCTAAAGCTGACTTACTGCTTGTATACTTTTCACATTCTTCCTGAAGGATAGCTGAGTTTTGTGTTGGTATTCTGGTCGGAAGAATCAGTCTACGTTTTGGTTTATATGTAAGTTAAATTATACAGTGAGATTTGGAGAATCAGAAAGCACCTTTTTTTTTTTTTTTTTGAGACGGAATCTTGCTCTGTATCCCAGGCTGGAGTGCGGTGGTGTGATCTTGGCTCACTGCAACCTCTGCCTTCCGGATTCAAGCAATTCTCCTGCCTCAGCCTCTGGAGTAGCTGGGATTACAGGTGTCGGCCACCACACTCACCTAATTTTTTGTATTTTTAGTAGAGATGGGGTTTCACTGTGTTAGCCAGGATGATCTTGATCTCCTGACCTTGTGATCTGCCTGCCTCAGCCTCCCAAAGTGCTGGGAGAAAGCACCTGGCCAGAAAGCACATTATTAAAAAAGGAATGATATGGAAAATACCAAGAGATTCTGACACCTTATTTTGGGGCCATTTCATTTCTTCACCTTACTTTCCTTCTTGGATTGGAGGATTCCAAAGGCTTGAGAACTTAGTTTTGTGCTCTCTCCCTTTCTGCTAAGCTTATAGCAAGTTTTACATCTGTAAGGGCTCTGTTTCTGTTAAAGTATATGTGGCAGGTTGGGCACGGTGGCTCACACCTGTAATCCCAGCACTTTGGGAGGCCGAGGCAGATGGATCACCTGAGGTCAGGAGGTCAAGACCAGCCTGACCAACATGGTGAAACCCTGTCTCTACTAAAAGAAAAACTACAAAATTAGCTAGGCATGGTGGCGGGTGCCTGTAATCCTAGCTACTCAGGAGGCTGAGGCAGGAGAATCGCTTGAACCTGGGAGGCAGAGGTTGCAATGAGCTGAGATTGCACCACTGCACTCCAGTCTGGGCAAAAAGAGCAAAACCCCATCTCAAAAATAAATAAATAAATAAAAATAAATGTGGCATTAGGTAACTCATCCTGTTTCGGAAGTTGCTAGGGTCGGGTGGAGGTTTTGTACTTGGGGCACAGATTGAAGTTGCAGAAGGTACAGATGGCCATCTGGCATATTTTCTACTGACAGCCCTGTGGAATTAGTGAGCATGGCTTTGCTGAATGCTAAACACATGTTCACTCACTGAGCCTGGGCTTCCTCTATGCTTCACAGACACTGAAGAGCAGCAGCCGGGGAAGAAGGGGCCACGGGTCATTTACGACGAGAAGAAAGGCACCGTCTACATCTACTCCTACTTCCACTTCGTGTTCTTTCTGGCTTCTCTCTATGTGATGATGACCGTCACCAACTGGTTCAAGTGAGTGGCCCATTGGCTTAGGGACTTTGGAAGTAACGTCTTAAGAGTTAAGTACTATTCGTGTTTGTTTGTTTGAAAAGGAGTCTTACTCTGTTGCCCAGGCTGGAGTGCAGTGGCGTGATCTCCGCTCACTGAAACCTCCACCTCCCAGAATCAAGCGATTCTCGTGCCTCGGCCTCCTGAGTAACTGGGACTACATGCATGCACCACCATGCCTGGCTAATTTTTGTATTTTTAGTAGAGACAGATTTTGCCATGTTAGCCGGGCTGGTCTTGAATTCCTGACCTCAAGTGATCAGTGACCTCAAATGAGGTCCTGATCAAGTCACTGCCTTGGCCTCCCAGAGTGCTAAGACTACAGGTGAGTTCTGAGTTTTAACAGTGGACGGGTATGTTTTAGCCCTGGAAACTGGTGAGGTTAGCTCTATATAGACAGTCTGGAAAACACGATAATTGAGGAAAAATGGGAATTCCTAAGCATTCATCTGCCTTTAAGAAAGAAATTATCCCTTTTTTCTACTTCAAATTTTGTTTATCTTTTTCCCCACTTTTCTTCATTTTCATTACAAAAGTTGGAAACATCTTTTTTTTTTGAGATGGAGTCTCACTCTGTCACCAGGCTGGAATGCAGTGGTACAATCTCAGCTCACTGCAACCTCCGCCTCCCAGGTTCAAGTGATTCTCCTGCCTCGGCCTCCTGAGTAGCTGGAATTAAAGGCACATGCCACCAAACCCAGCTAATTTTTGTATTTTTAGTACAGACCGTGTTTTACCACGTTGGCCAGGATGGTCTTGATCTCTTGACCTTGTGATCTGCCTGCCTCAGCCTTCCAAAGTGCTGGGATTACAGGTGTGAGCCACCGCGCCTAGCCTGAAACATCTTTTTTAAAACTACAAACTAAATGTGGAATTATGAAAAGTAACAATGTGGTATCCCCCCCGGTCTACTCCTCAACACAGATAACCACTGCTAGGATGTGTATCTTTTCATTCCTTTACTGTGCATTTATAAACCTATGTCATTTTTTAAAAAAACATAAATGTCATTATACATGTTTTCCCCCAGAGGCTTTTTTTTAACTTGATATTACATGATTGACCTGGCCTTCCCTGTGACTACACAGAGGTTCATACTTTTTCTACAAGTCCAGAGCTTCGGTTATATCATAATTTGACCACTAAGTTAGGCTTAGACATGTAGGCTCCTTGTGCTTCCTTGTATCATTCATTCAACAGATGTACAAGTGGCTCCTGTGTGCCACATGGTTCTAGGAGGCAGGGCTTATAGTCTAGTGGGGGAGACAGACTATGACCCAAGTCAGATACGCTGTGTTAGATGGTAATAAGCATTGGGGAATGGCCGGGCACGGTGGCTCAAGCCTGTAATCCCAGCACTTTGGGAGGCCGAGATGGGTGGATCACAAGGTTGAGAGATCGAGACCATCCTGGTCAACATGGTGAAACCTCGTCTCTACTAAAAATACAAAAAATTAGCTGGGCACGGTGGTGCGTGCCTGTAATCCCAGCTACTCGCGAGGCAGAGGCAGGAGAACTGCCTGAACCCAGGAGGCAGAGGTTGCAGTGGGCCAAGATTGCGCCATTGCACTCCAGCCTGGGTAACAAGAGCGAAACTCCGTCTCAAAAAAAAAAAAAAAAAGCATTGGGGAGAAAAATAAAATGAGGAAGGGGAATTGTGGTCGGGTGGTGGGAGTGGTGGTTTCAAGCACATTGATTGGAGGAGAGGAGAAGAGAGCTTTAATGCTTCCCAGTGATGCTTTGAGAACTCCTGGGGATTTTTGGCTTGGGAAGCTTAAGAAAGGATGGAGGATGCTATAATTAAAAAGGCAGATAATAACAAATGTCGAGGAAGTTGAGAAATTGGAACCCTCTTACATTGCTGGTTTGAATGTGAAATCTGCTTTGGAAAAAGAGTTTGGCAGCTCCTTAAACAATAAAACATCGAGTTACAATATAATCCAGCTCTTCCACTCCTGAGCATGTACCTAAGACAAAAAGAAAACTAGGTCCACAAAAAAACTTACCCATGTAAGTTTTTGCCCACATAAGTTTGATGATTCATACCAGCATCATTGGTGATAGCCAAAATGGGGAAACATCCCAAATGACCATGTGCTCTACACATGCAATAGGATACTATTTAGCACTTTCAAAAAAAAATAGAATGAAGGACTGATGCATGCTACCACATGGATGAGCCTTGGAAATAGTATGCTTTGGTAAAAAAGCCACACACAAGAGGCCACGTGATTTATTTTATATCAACTCTCTAGAATAGGCAAATCCGTAGAGACAGAAAGTAGACTGGTGAATGTTGGAGGCGGACCAGGGGGCCATGGGGAAATGGAGAGTGCCTAAAGGGTGCATGAATTCTTCTGGGGGTGATGGGAATGTTTGGAAATGGATTGTGTTGGTGGTGGCACAAGTCTGTGTATGCATGTGTTAAAAGCCACTGAATTGTACATTATACATGGATGTGAATTAGTGAATTCTATCTCAATATATTCCTGCTCTGACTGCAGCTGGGTCTCTTGTTTCCATAGCTACGAAAGTGCCAACATGGAGAGCTTCTTCAGTGGGAGCTGGTCCATCTTCTGGGTTAAGATGGCCTCCTGCTGGATCTGCGTGCTGTTGTACCTGTGGACGCTGGTCGCTCCCCTCTGCTGCCCCACCCGGCAGTTCTCCGTTTGACGATGTCAGTGATCCCCTGGGCTCTGTGGACCTGCAGCCTGGAAAGTGCCATCTTTTGAACAGTGTCCCTGGAGGTTAAGTGACTGGCGCCCTGTGCCTAAGTGGGTCTGAAAAGGCTTTCAGAAAAAAAAAAATCTCCTGATTAGCTTTTTACTTTTGTAATTCAAAAACTACCAGTTTGTTCAAAAGGAATTGAAATTTTCAACTAAACTGATCATGGTTGCAATATCCTACCCATAGAAACTGGATACTAGTTATGTTGACTTCATTCTGCTTGGTTTTGCCAAAACAGAGTTTGGGGCACAGCATCTTTTCACAGGGATAAAAAATACGTTGTGTGGCCAGTCATACTCACCCTTGGAATAGAAAAACATGCCAAATCCCCAGCCCCTGACAGAATCCAGACCCCTCTCACTCAACTCCCGCCTCTTAAAGCTTTGTCCCCGGGGGCTTTGAGGACAGGACTCATACTGCAGGGCCCCTTATATTTATAGGGTCCAAGAGGAGGCACCTGCTTTTCAACTGCACGCTCCGTGCTGCCTCCTCATGGCCCCTAAACATTTCCCTCTGAGGTTGTGATGCTGGGAATCACAGACTTCACTTTCTGCCCGCACCTTTTCCCAAAGTCTCATCTCTTCTGGGTCCCACATCTTTGTAATAATGTGAAAAAGCACAATTTGCCTGGTCACCCCCAACATGGTTCTCCACCATATTATCACTACCTGATCCTAGTTACTGCAAAAGTATGGCGCTTATTTATGGTGTTAGTCACTTGATTATAGAACAAGATTCGTATTGTTTTCTTTGCTTAACCAATGGAGGGCTATAATTCTTACTTGTGTGTGCTGTTGATAATGATCATACTTTTAGGACCTTAACTGAAAAGCTGCTTCGAGTTGAAGCCTGCTGCATGCACTGCTCTTTCAGTTGTTGAGGTCAGCCCCTCTGTTTCTTCTCCACCTTGAGGCCTTTGAAACTGTAAAAGCGGAAGAACTTTTGTGTTCTGTCGCTGTAATGTGACCACACCATTCAAGTTCATTCTGGTGTCCTTGGAGTAGATTTGATAAAGAGAGAATTTCTGAGGTGAGGATCCCAGGCAGCACCTCAGACACTCTGATTCAGGGAAGCATGTTAGGAAAAGTGTGGGAGTGGCCAAATATACATAAAGACAAGTGGGAGGAGGCAAGTGGATCTCTTGAGGTCAGGAGTTCAAGACCAGCCTGGTACACATGGTAAAACCCCCATCTCTACTAAAAATAGAAAAATTAGCTGGGCATGATAGCATGTGCCTGTAATCCCAGCTACTTGGAGGCTGTGGCATGAGAATCACTTGAACCCAGGAGGCGGAGGTTGCAGTGAGCCAAGATTACGCCACTGCACTCCAGCCTGGTGACAAGAGTGAGACTTCATCTAAAAAAAAAAGGAGAGAGAGGTGGGCGGTTGAGGGTATTTAAGCCATAGATAACATCCACAGGGATTTCCAAAATACATGCTGTAATACTCATAGAGACGTGTCTTTTGGCAGCTACCCAAGATGATGCCCATTTTCAGTCTTGATGTTCTCAGGCAGGGAAGAGTTTTACTTCGTGGAAACTCCTGTTAGAATTTCATTCAGGGTGGAAAGAATCTTCTTGAGCTCTCTGGAAGTGAGGCTCTAAGAATAAAAGACAGCCTAGTCATTTTTTTCTGTGCCCTACTCTGTGAGTTGGGCAGAATTGAGTGCCACCTAAGCTGGGCGTCTGTGTGCCAAAATGCTTGTGGGTGAAATCAGTAAAATTCTTTCTGCTCATTCCTTTGTCCTTCTCCCAAGAAAACCCAGGGAGAAACAAATATAGGGAATTCCTTTAGAACTTTCCCTACTTACAGTGTTTGAGATTCTGTTTTAAAAGTCACTCGATCTGTGTGTTTGGTTAAGAGAGACTTGTTTTGTCAACTCCATTAAATTTCTATTAAATAGGGCAGGAGAGACTCATCCGGAGTTGCGAAATGAAAGCCGTTTGCTAACCTGAGGAACCAGTTAGGGGACAGGAGCTCAGTGGGCCAGGAACAGGCTCAGGGAGTGGGGCTGCTTGTCACACACAGTAGCTGTGTTGCAGTGGCATGGGCCCTGGGTACACTGCGGTTGTCTTTAGGAAACACTCTGAGAAGCAGGTCGGGGGCCACGGCAGTATTGTGACTAGTTTCTTTGTCTTCTTCCTGCTGAGGTCTAGCAGAGCCCTTGCTTTGTCTTCTCGGCTGGGTCTGGTGGCCAGCTGGTGTGATTTAAGAAACTGACCTTATGCCCAGTCAAGGTCAAGCTAACAAGGCCTTGCATTCCTTGGCTGGCTGTGGTTGGCCCTTTCCTCTGCAGAAAGCAGCTCAGGGAAGCCCAAGCAAGGGAGTGTGGCAGGTGGAAGGCCCGAGTCACTTCTGGAGCCAGCCCAGTCACTCCACATTTTCCAGATGTGTGAGTCTTGGTGTGTGGTCTCCCGTTCCCTTCTGCAGGTTGGTCTGATGCAAGAGGAAGAGTTAAAAGTTGATCAGAGTTTTATTCTCAGCTGAAATGTTAGCATGTATATCTGGATGAACAAAAGAGATGTGGATGCATCTGAGGACCAAGGGACTATCAATGCAAAGTTAATAATGTTAATGGTTATTAATTGTGATACACAATACTCAGGTGAAGAGTCAACATTCCTGGATTTAAAGAATCTATAATTATGGCCGGGTGCAGTGGCTCATGCCTGTAATCCTAGCATTTTGGGAGGCCAAGGCAGGCGGATCACCTGAGGTTGGGAGTTTGAGACCAGCCTGGCCAACATGGAGAAACCCCGTCACTATTAAAAATACAAAATTAGCTGGGCATGGTGGCACATGCCTGTAATCCCAGCTACTCAGGAAGCTGAGGCAGGAGAATTGCTTGAACTCAGGAGGTGGAGATTATGGTGAGCCGAGATTGCCCCATTATACTCTGGCCTGGGCAACAATTATGAAACTCTGTCTAAAAAAAAAAAAAAAAAAAAAACTACAGTTTTGTGCAGTGTTATTTAAGAAACTGGAAACATTGTACCAGTGGCTTTGAGTTGCTATAACAATGGTGTTAATTTGATTAACTCACTGATATCTTTTAAAAATAATAGACATTTGCTTCTTACAGTTTTTTGTACACAACTTAAAGAGTATACTCCCAGAAGCTGCTGGTCAGACACATTTAGGGATGACAGTTGAAGATTTTTTTGAAGCTGCAAGTGAATATTTCCTCTGTGTCACTCATCTGATAAAAAGTTTCCCCTCATTTTTATGAGTAAAAATACTGAGTGAGTGACAGGGGGATGGGGGTTCTTATGGGAGTGTCATCCAAGGCATGTTACCTGACTGGAAACTGGAAACCATTTCCGTTTGAAGCCTTCAGAAACCCAACCGCATCTTTACTGAGTCTAGCTTTTTAAATACTCATTGGTTAGTTTTACTTTGTGGGGAATTGTCTGAAGAAATTGTTTGCCACAGGTATTTGGAGCCTCTTTGTAGGGGAGATGAAGTGGGGTGGGCTGTGGGGTGGGTGGAGTTACTGGGGTTTTGGGGTTCTGTTTCCAAACAACATTGTTTATTTCTGATTCTTCAGAAGATCTTTCATTATGAGCGACCTCAGTGTAATGTTAATTTCCCATCTCCATGCCAAAATTGTCATCTTCTGCCTTTTGTTTTTGAGACTGGCTCACTCTGTCACTCAGGCTGGAGTGCAGTGACATGATCTTGATTTATGGCAGCCTTGATCTATCTCCTGGGGCTCAAGGACCACCTCCCGAGTAGCTGAGACCACAGGTTTTTGCCACCATACCTGGCTAATTTTTATTTTTATTTTTTGTAGAGAGGAGGTTGTCCAGGCTGGTCTCACACTCTTGAGCTCAAGCAATGTGCCTGCCTTGGCCTCCCAAAGTGCTGAGATTACATGTGTAAACCACCGCACGCAGCCCGCCCTCTGCCTTTCTAAGATGATGTATTTATTTAATGTTTCCCATCATTGGTGCTTCACCTTCCTGTGAAGGGAATTCCAGAACCTGTATTTAGCTACCTGGGCTTTTACCCTCCCTTTATTGCCTTTCTAAATGCTCATTTGGTGTACTCTAGTATCCTATACCTCTTGAAAATGAAAGCAGGCTCAACCTAAAACTAAAAAGGGACCAACTTAGAACTAAGACCTTAACACACCCAGAAAGAACACTGGGCCCTCCTTCATCAGGGACAATGCAGTAGCCACTTGGCTTGTGGAATTTTCTGAAGGATATTTTCTGTAACTTGCTAGTTAACTTAGTTTTGCATTTCAGGAAGAGGTGCACTCTCTAATGTTGGGCCTTTGACTTCGCAGGACTGGAGAGCTGTTCACACAGATGTTTGGAGCTTTCCCTCTCTTCTTTCTTCTCAGTAAATCTTTCATAGAAGCAGTCATTTTTAAAGGTTGAAATATTTGGCCTTTACCAAAGAGCTTTTTTTTTTTCTTAAGTAAAATCCTTTCAGAAAGAAACTTCAGTGGGGAAGGACAGATTAAGAATGCATATGTCCCAATCCACTTGTATAGAGTGTAATCATATTCACGTGAGTAAAATGATGGAAGAACTCTTGAAGGTAATCCTTTGGGATAAAGGATCCTGGGAGGTTCTCTCAGGTAAAGAAAGCTTATAGCAGATGTGTAATATATGTCTTGAGAGCTATTTATAAGAAATTTAGGAGGATTGTTTTGTTTTCCTTTATTAAAGATTTAAGTCTTTTTTACTTTGCATAAAGAAAACTCAAAAGTTTTATAGGTATAACTTTGCTAATTTTTTAAACTTTTCTGAAACAATTAGCTGTAGCCAAACTATGTGGTTATGTTTTGCTACATGAGAATTTGAAAATGCAATATGTGTGGTAAACCTACTGTCTGAAATTTATAATGGTCTCTGATATGGTTAGAATTTTGGTAATTTTTGAAAGTTGTTTTTCCCCTTTAGTCATGGATTTCTATTTTTTTTTTAATGTTAATTTTTCTATAAAGCATCTGAATTGACTAGGCTTTTCCTATGTAAAAAACTCGACACTTGTTAACTCTGAACTTTAATAAAATTTAAAATTAAAACTATGTTGTTTTTTTCTCTTCCGCTAGATACATATATAATTAAAGTACTCAAGTTGTTTCCAAGAGATGTTGCCCTCAAATGTTAACCAGCTCTCTCTTAAGTTTCATGGAGTTTATGCTGATCCTTTAATTGATAAATAAAAGGTATATGTCTATGGTGTACAACATGATGTTTTGAAATATGTATACATTCAGGAATGGCCTAATCATACTAATTAGCATATGCATTGCCTCATGTTTTTGTGCTGAGAACATTTAAATTTTTTTTTTTTTTTTTTTTTTTTTAAGATGAGTTTCGCTCTTGTTGCCCTCCCAGGCTGGAGTACAGTGATACGATCTCAACTCATCGAAACCTCCACCTTCCCGGTTCAAGTGATTCTCTTGCCTCAGCTTCCCAAGTAGCTGGGATTATAGGCATGCAGCACCATGCCTGACTAATTTCTTTTCAGTAGTGATGGGATTTCTCCATGTTGGTCAGGCTGGTGTTGAATTCCCGACCTCAGGTGATCCACCCTCCTTGGCCTCCCAAAGTGCTGGGATTACAGGCATGAGCCACTGCGCCTGGCCTCCTCTCGGTGGTTTTTAAGGTACAGTGCAAGGTTAACTGGTCACCATGTTACACAGTAGATCTCCTCAACATACTCCTTCTGGCTGATATTTTGTGTTTGTTCTTTGACCAACATCACCCTGAACTACTCTCACCCAATCCCCTACCTCCAGCTCCTAGTAACCACCTTTGCACTGTGCATTTCTTAAGTCAAACTTGGGAAGTTTGACTTTTTAAGTATCCACAGGTCAGATCGTGAAATATATTTCTTTTTGTGTCCGGCTTATTTCACTTTAGCATGTCCTCCACGTTGTTGCATGTTGCAGGAGTGCCTTCTTTTTGAGGCTGAATAATATTCTTTTGTGTGTATATGCTATTGTTTCTTTTCTTTTCTTTTCTTTTTTTGAGACAGAGCCTTGCTCTGTCACCCAGGCCGGATTACAGTGATATGAACATGGCTTATTTCAGCCTTGACTTCTTGGACTCAAGCAGTCCTTCTGTCTCAGCCTCCCAAGCAGCTGGGACCACAGGCTGCAACACAAAGACTGGCTAATTTGTGTATTTTTTGTAGAGATAAGGTCTCGCTATGTTGCCCAGGCTGGTCTCACTCCTGACCTCTAGCAATCATCCTGCCTCAGCCTCCCAAAGTGCTGGGATTACAGGCGTGAGCCACTGTGCCCAGCTCACATTTTCTTTATATAGTCTTTGTGGACACTTGGGTTGATTCTATTATCTTGGCCATTGTGGATAATGCTACAGAGGACATAGGAATGTGGGTATCTCTTTGACATACTGCTTTCATTCCCTTTGGATATATACCCATTAGTGGGATTGCTGGATCATATGGTAGTTCTATTTTCAGGTCTTTGTGTGGTGGGGGTTGAGACAGGGTCTTATTCTGTCACTCCACCTGAAGTGCAGTGGTGCAATCATAGCTCACTGCAACCTCTATCAGCCTCCTGGGTTCAAACCATTCTCCCACCTCAGTCTCCTGAGTAGTTGGGATTACAGGTGCACATCCAAATGCCTGGCAAATTTTTGCATTTTTTGGGGTACAGATGGTTCCACTATCTCTACCAGGCCAGTCTGGAACTCCTAACCTCAAGTGATCTGCCCACCTCAGCCTCCCAAACTGCTAGGATTACAGGCTATTTTTAGTTTTGTGAGGAACCTCCAAGAACGTTTTCCATAGTGGCTGTACTGATTTATATCCCCACTGAGAGTGTACCCTTTTCTCCACCTCCTTGCCAACACATTTTTTTTTTTTTTGATAAGTCAATCTAACAGATGAACTTTTATCTCATTGTGGTTTGAATTTGCATTTCCCTAATGATTAGTAACTTGGGTTTTGGTTTTTGGTTTTTGTGGGTTTTCTTGAGACAGAGCCTTGCTCTGTTGCCCAGGCTGTAGTGCAGTGGCACAATCTCAAGTTCATTGCAACCTCTACCTCTTGGGTTCCAGCAACTCGCCTGCTGCAGCCTCCTGAGTAGCTGGGATCACAGGTGCATGCCACCACACCCAGCTAAGTTTTTGTATTTTTAGTAGAAATGGGGTTTCACCATGTTGGCCAAACTAGTCTTGAACTCCGGACCTCAGGGGATCTGCCTGCCTTGGCCTCCTAAGTGCTGGGATTACAGGCATGAGCCACTGCATCCAGCCTGACTTGAGCACTTTCTCATTATCTTTTGGCCATTGTATGTCTTTTGAGAAGTACCTATTCAAGTCCTTTGTTCACTTTTTAAGTGGGTTATTTTCTTGCTATTGAGCAGTTTGGAGTGATTTATATATTTTGAATATTAGCCCCTGATCGGATGTGAAGTTTGTGTTTTCTCCTGTGTTGTACATTGTCTCCTAACTTGGTTGTTTCCTTTGCTGTGCAGAAGTTTTTAGTTTGATGTAATCGTTTGTCTACATTTTTGTTGTCTAGTTTTAGTTTCAGGTCTTACTTAATAGCTAAGTCTTTAATTCATTTTAGGTTGATTTTTTAATATGGTATTAAATAAAGGCCTAATTTCATTCTTCAACATGTGGATATTCAGCTTTCCCAACACTATTTATTATTTCCATGTATTGTGCTAGTTGTTGAGAATGAAAATATAAACATGAAACCCCAAGCTGTCTTGTTCCTCTGAAAGCTCTTGTGGACCGCACTTCCTTCCTGTGTCCTCTCCTTATGCTAGTGTCCTGAACATGAGAATTAGGGTAAAAGTTTTCTGTAGTTGTGTTTTGAGATGAGGTCTCTTGCCTAGGCAGCAGTGCAGTGGCCAACTCAGCCTCCAACTCCTGAGCTCAAGCAATTGTCCCACCTCAGCTTCCCAAGTGCCTGGGGCTACCTGTGCCCTGCTATGCCTGGCTCATTTTTCAGATTATTTGTTGACATGGGGTGTCTCTGTTGCCCAGGATGGTCTTGAACTCCAAGCCTCAAGTGAGCTTTCTCTCTTGGCCTCTCAAAGTGCTGGGATTACAGGTGTGAGCCATCATCCCCGGCGCTTAACCATTTTTAGGTGTACGGTTCAGTGGTATGAAGTAATAGTACATTCACATTGTTTTACAGCCAATCTCCAGAACCCTTTTCAATTTGCAAAACAAACTACCTATTAAAGAACTCTGTTCCCGCTTCCCTTCTCCTGTGGCAACCATCATCCTACTTTCTGGCTCTGAATTCGGCATTTGCTTTTTTTTTTTTTTGTCCTCTGTTCCTTCCCACATAGATGCTGTTAGTCTTCATCTCTTCCAGCTTTTGATTTTTGATTGTGCTATCTAGTTGCTATTTTTATATAGCAATTCAGGAAGATCCAAAAACTGTGCTTCTACCCTTGCCACTGTCTCTTCCATTCACACTTGAACTTCTTTATTATAGGTATCTTTTTCCTCTTCACCTTGTTCGAAGAATGTGGGAGGCAGATAATTTGTCTTTTTAGTTTTTAGGTCTCCATACCCACAGAACCATCCCTGTGGTGCTTATCCACAAACAACTGGGCCTGATTTATTTCCTAACCCCACCTTCTGTGTCGCCCTTCCTTTTCCATTTGAAAAAGCCTGATTGGGCCAGGTGTGGTGGCTCATGCCTGTAATCCCAATACTTTGGAAGGCCGAGGCAGGCGATCACTTGAGGCCTGGAGTTCAGGACCAGCCTGGGCAACATGGTGAACTCCTGTCTCTACAAAAAAATACAAAAACTAGTCGGGCTTGGTGAATGCTCCTGTAGGCCCAGCTACTCCAGGGAGGCAGAGGTTACAGTGAGTCATGATTGTGCCACTGCACTCCAGCCTGGGCAATGGAGGAGACCCTATCTCAGCAACAAAAACCTGATTTGCAGCCAAAGAGTTTACTGAGCCTGTTTCCTGCCAGTAAATGGTCAGGAGCACAGTGGCTTTGTTTTGAGCTGTCTCTGTCCATTTTAGTCGAAGCTATTGGTGCTGGTGTTAGTTCAGTTCTCTTAAAAACATTGTGAGTTTTCTGTGGATTTTGTTGGGATTCACTGTGTTAAGTAAAAATCATCTCCACCAATCTTTTTAAGATGGACTCCCTCTCTGGGCTGCAAGTCAGGGTGCTGGGATCACAGGAGCCTGCCACCATGCCCAGTTAATTTTTGGTATTTTTAGTAGAGATGGGGTTTGACCATGTTGGCCAAACTGGTCTTGAACTCCTGACCTCAGGTGACCTGCCCTCCTTGGCCTCCCAAAGTGCTGGGATTACAGGCATGAGCCACCACGCCCAGCCTGACTTGAGCACTTTTTCATATATCTGTTGGCCATTTGTATGTTTTTTGAGAAATACCTATTCAGGTCCTTTGTCCACTTTTTAAGTGGGTTGTTTTCTGCTAATCTTTTTAAGATACACTTCCTCTCTGGGCTATTCCTACAAGTCAGGGTGCTGTGTGAGAATACACTTGTTCTTTCAGAAGCCTGTTTGTCTAATCATAAAGGTTGAGAAGTGCCTCCTTACATCTTTCTGGGATTTTAACAAAGGGCCTTATGTTGACTAGAGGCCATGTTTTACTTGTGGCAGTGAAACCACCTTTGCAAAAATTATAACTGAGCAGATTATGGCAGTGAAAGAGATGTGACCTGACCCTGACTGGCTCCTAGCCTCCAAGCTATCCTTGTTCATTCTGGGGTGTGGGTCGAGCTAGCTTTGGAAGGAACTTAGGTGATAGTTTAACTTCGGTTTTTTTGTTTGTTTTGTTTTCAGACAGAGTCTTACTCTGTCACCCAGGCTGGAGTGCAGTGACCCCATCTCGACTCACTGTAACCTCCACCTCCTGGCTTCAAGCAATTATCCTGCATCAGCCTCCTGAGTAGCTGGGATTACAGGCATGTGCCACCTCGCACGGCTAATTTTTGTACCTTTAGTAGAGATGGGGTTTCACCACGTTGGCCAGGCTAATCTCAAACACTCGAGGTCACGTGATCCACCCTCCTGCCGAGGCCTCCCAAACCTGCTGGGATTA